TTGTGCTGTGGTCCTGAATGAACACGACAGACTTGCTGCACTGGAAGAAAAAGACAGGGGGAGGGAAGAACAGAGTTCTAATTCCCCCACTGCTGATGCTACTGGAGAGCATGGTGTAGCATTGAGTGCTGTCCGATGCTACAATTGTGGACAGACTGGGCATCTACAGCGAAACTGTAAGAAGCCGCGCCAGTCAAGAGGAGCAAAGAGCAGCTCTACGAAGCCTCAGGCGTCAGGCAAAAGCCGTACCAAGTGCCAGGTGAAACCTGCAAAGGCTATGATGGCGAAAGGAACCACGCCAGATGTTGGGAACTCGTTCATAATTGACACGGGCGCAACGGTTCACATGTGCCCGCACAGAGGACTATTTTCGACGTTGAAGAAGCAAAGCTTCACTGTGAAACAGGCCAACGGTCAGGAGTTGGAAGCGACTGGAATTGGGACTGTGTATCTTGAGAGTCTGAACTTGACTATAAGTGATGTTTACCTGGTTCCAGAACTGAGATTTAATCTGCTGAGCGTGTCGCAGATTGCAAAGAAAGGACTGAAACTGTCCTATGATGCTAAAAGCTGCAAGATCTACAAAGATGGAGAACTGTTTCTTACTGCCAAAGAGAAAGATGGACTGTATTTGTTGACTTTTGATCAAAGTGATTACATGAAATGTAATTCTTCTGTTTCTAACGAAATCTCTCTTGCAGGTGTGACCAGTGTGAGCACCAGGAAGGTGACTAAGACCAAGAAGGTCAACAGAGCATTTCAGCGGGTGTATGCTGATGTGATTGGTCCTCTAGAACCATCTAGAGGCAGTGCAAAGTATTACCTTTTGTGTGTGGATTGTTTCACTAATTATTCTTGGGTTTATATGATGGAGAAACCGCAAGAAACTTTAGAAAAGTTTCAGGAGTTTTGTGACAAGGTTAAAAGTATGCATGATGCTAACATTGATTGTCTTTTCACAGATGAGAAGCAAATTTTTCTGTTACAGAAGTTTCAGAAGTTCCTGGATGGAAAAGGGATAGACCACAAAGTGGCAGTTTCGCAAGAAGCGTGGAACAGGGGGGTCTGTGTAAGAGTGAACAAAGAATTGCAAAAGGGGATGAATGCGCAATTGCTGAGTTCACATTTGCCACATGAATATTGGGCCGAATCGCTAGCGTCCTATCTTCATGTGTGGTTGAGAAAAGTCTCAACAGAGTTGGGATGTTCTCCTTTGAGAAGCTGTTCAATAGAAAACCTTCTGTTGCCTATTTTAAGGTTTTCGGGTCTCATGTGAGAACAGAAGCTCCAGGTGGTGTAAAGAATGCCAGAGGCATTTTTGTGGGTTATGAAAAAGGTCTCTACAGAGTAATTTTGTCTGAATCTGGTCAGGTGATTCTCACAAAGTTCCTAGAGAGTGCTCCAAAGCAAGAGCGGATAGTACAGACATTTCCCACAGGAAACGATTCTGATGATGATGATGATGATGAGTTTGATCTTATTGAGTTCAGTAGTACTGATGATGACAGCGATAGCTCAGACAGCTCAGTTGTCACAGTCATTGAGAGGAAATCTCACATAATGACTAGACCCTCAGAAGAGGAGGATGAACCACTGATTGCTACTGGTTCTCAACAGAGTCCAAAGGTTGAACCAGTGAGCACAGAAGATCAGAACCTCATACGCAGGTCTGAGAGAGTTACAAAGGGTGTACCACCAAAGAGGTACTCAAAAGAGTTTGCTAACTTAGCTGTTGCATGTGTTGCTATTGTTAACAACTCAAAGCAGGTTGAAGCAGTGTCTACGTCAGAGACAAAGACACAACAGAGGGTAGCTAGCCAAGGTAATGCAGAAGCACTCATTCCTTGGAAGCCAGACAACCAGAGAGGTACATTGGTTAAACTAGTGGCGGGTAGTTCCAAGGGTGGAACTGAAAAAACAGGGGAATGTTATAAATATAACAACTGTTTGTTTTCTTCTATGGATGACGCTTTGCTCGCGGCACACATTGATACTTTAGGGGAGTATGTTACCATAAAGCACCAATGCTGCAGCAAGCAAAGGCTCTAGCAGCTCAGCCAGCTGCTTGTGGCTGGAAAGCCAGACAGGATGTTTGTGACTGTTGCCATGGGAACAAAGGGGCAGTCCATTCTGTACTGAGCACCGGATGTTAGCTCAGTGTGTGTGTGTCATATGACCCGTACTGGATGTACTTGGGAGGAGTTTCTTCTTGCTGTTGTTGAGTGCAGACATGATTCTCTGTACTGATGTAAGAGGCAGAAATAAATGATGTAAATAGTTTTCTGTCTGCTTCTTTCCCTCCCTGGGGACACCAAAGGGGAGAGAGGAAGAACGGTGTGTTCCTCTCATACATCTGAGAAGAATCGCCGGACCTCGCCTGCTTATCAGCAGAGTGGAGACGCGGGGAGGTCGACAGGAATATCTGCCGGTGCCTACGCTGTGGCACATTCCTCTGACCCAGGCAGAATTCCAACACTATCCTGGTCCCTGTCCCAAAGCACACATCATGATTAATGCTCAATAAAAAGGACATCCAGAGGGCTAGGAAACACACTTCTACTGAACAAAAGTTTGCACTGTAAAAAGTACTGAGTTTTGGGGGTTCAAAAAGATTAAAACTAGATTGTATTAGATTCTATTATTTTTCAAGTGGCTTTCACTGATTTATATATGATTGTGCAGTTCCTTTGATTGCGCTCAAATGCACTCCACTGTAATATTCATCTTACAAAAGTCGACAAAAGAGGAAGTCTTGAATGGTTAGGATAGTTAAGAGGCACTTTCTTGACCCAACAGTGGATTTATGCTAGGTAAAAATGACAGATTAGCAGCCATTGTTAGTCGCAGAGTAGACCCACTGAAATCAGTGGACTGAAGTCCATTGTGGTTTTAATGGGTCTACTCTATGAATATGACCTTGTTGCATATCACCTACAATGTGCATAAATGCAAAAAAATTTCCCCCAGCAAAAAAAAGTACTGTGGGGACATTTCCGTTTGCTCAAGGCGGGTGGCAAATAGCAGATGATGGGGGGCCGCAGTGAGTGCAAAGGGTTAAAGTTACACCACATTCCCAATCCAAGTTGTGGCTGAAATTGACATTACACAACTGCAAATTATGTGACTAACATAACATCTAGTTTGGCCTGAATTGTGCAATGGAGTGATCCAACAAACACAGCTACCGTGCAACTTCCATTATTTCAATAAGCTTGCGTACCAGCCCCGTACTCTCTTACCGAAAAGATGGAAATTGGACAGCAAGAAAGAAAAACAGATTGCAATGAATTTAGTGTATGTAACAACTATAGGAGGGCGCCATAAATTTGCAAAACATGGCAGGCTGCCATCCCCTACAAAATTCTTGGAACAAGATAAAGTCATTCATATACTTAACAGATGTCAACTATAGTAAAACATTGCAAAAATGCTACTCATAGCAAATCCGGGTTTGGCTCCCTGCTCGCAGCGTAATTGACTTGGCAAATGACAAGAGGTAATCTGGAGTAATAAAATGTACAACAGCAAGACCACACACAACGATGGACCTCATTGACGGCTGCAAATATTTATACAACACTAAAAAAAAATTGGCTTGATTAAGATGTAAGAATATACTTGCTATCTTTAGAACTCTGAAGTCAGTTTGCGTCCAACGTGGATTGAAATAACAGTTGAAGATAGTGCAACTTGCGACCCGCCAAGCTAAATTTCAACTCAACAAACTCCCTTGCTTTTGCCCGTCCAAGGCAGGCAACAAAGTCAACATCAATTTTCAAAGAGTGTCCAAATTGTTTTAAAGTACATGACTGCTGGCCTGGCAGTCAGCTTTAAAAATATGTAGCACACACACAGTTCCACTGCTGGTCATTCTGTTCCTGACAGGCTGTGCTTTCATGTGTCGCTATCACAATACATACATACATACATACATACATACATAATCAAAATCGTCATACTGGGCATGGTCACAGCTGCTATCAAGGTTTAACACAGCCTGGGCCCCTGCCAAACAACCATAACCCAGAAGAGGGTTCACCAAAAAGAGATGTTTCAACCTGCTCCCCCTTTTGGCCATTGGAAACTGCTAATTTACCCACCTTTTCCCTCAGCCCAGAGGGCGCAAGCAAGCAAAAACTAGCTGTGCTGATAAAGGGGAGGAGCAGCTGCCACTTCCTGCATCCTCATTGGCTCTCTGCCTGACAAGCAAGCCGATGGCACCAAGGAAGAGGAAGAGGAGAAGGAGCAGTTGGTGACAATATTGGTGGAAGAGGAGTGTCCCCCCACTAAGTGTCTCACCCAAGGGCCCCCCAAAACCTGGAGCTGGCATTAAAGCATGGGGGATATTCCTTATGAAATACGATCCTTACGTGCTCAGAGCTGCCATTTATCATGTCTTAGAAGAAGCTTATGAGTCTCTCAAATGAAGGCTATTTAGTCAAAGCTTTCTACCTTTCTTGGTCAGGGTGCATGTCTTAAAGCAGGATGACACCAGAAACCACCCACCTACACAATTGTGGAAACAAACCTGTGGCTTCTTAAAGATGAGCATGTCTGACATTGGTTTTTGTGTTCCTCTCTACAAGAAACTCACCTCAAGGTGTGCTCAGATGAATACACAGGCATTTGGACTTTCCTCCTCACTCCTGTAAACCAACGTGCATGTCTTTATTGACCTCTCAAACACTTCCTTGAGGTGGCCCCACGGGCAGAGTGTTAACATCACTTCAGGAGCATGATGGGGGCCAATTCACAGAGGCCTTGCACTTGTAGCTGGGAAATTTCCAGGGGCCCAGAGAAAATACGGAGAGGGTTTCATCAGGTGACCAGGCCCAGGAACTTACACTGTGATCTTAAATTTTCTGCCGCCATGGACATACAATATTGACTATTCTGCACCCCCCCCCCAAATGGTTTGATTTGTCATATGCTATAGGTTTACCTTATGCAGCTATAAACAATGTAGCGCATATTGACAGACAAATAGTTAACTTTACAGCTCAGCTACTAAAAGATGCTTGCGCAACTTTAGAATTTGTTTGCTTGTTCAAGGCAGTGCAGATGAAGTGACCGGCTTCCATAACTTTGAAAAGATTCACACCCTAAAAAAGAGACAAACAGACAGAGATTTTATGCCTAGTAATTCATTCTAATCATTCTCGTGTGTGTGTGTGTACACACATGCATATGGGGGGTGTTAGCAAACTCTACCCTAAGACTAAGATGGGTGAGCTGTTCAGAGAATCCAAAATGCAACCTACTTAATTTGGATTTAATTTGGTATTCCATGCACACTTACACTCGGAGATGAATATTACTGAAATTGATGAGCTCATTTCTAAGTAACTGTGCTTATGTGTGCGGTAAACACTCTAAAAATCTGGGAAACTTTGAAATCGTGAAGGGATTGTCTTCTCATAGTGTCACAATTTTCTGAGATATGCTGTGTAGCAACTCATGAGAAGGCACCCTCCTGTCAGGGACTGGGCAGAGGAAGAATGGTGGAGACCACCTCCTCAGCCTGACCCTTCCAGAGAAGAAGAAGACAGTTCAGAATTACAACAGGCATTTGAGGGGGGGTCACAGATCAGAGACAGATGAGGGGGAAAGTTGGGAAATAATGGGAGAGGAGGAAGAAGAAGCACCAGAGGGGCTGACGGACACAGTGTCTTTAGAAAGCATTCCAAACTCCCCCTCTCCCAGAAGCCGGCAGGCATTGAAAGTAGGAGAGCAGAAAGCTCAGAGGCAGAGGGCACTTCTCAGCACCTGTAGTGATGACACATGGAGGGAGAGAGGGAGGAGGTGGAGACTCACTCAGGGCAACGCCATTACTCCAAGAGGCTGCATTTCTAAGCCTCTCTCTGTGAATACTGAATAAATAGCATTGGTAAGAACTTTCCTTGTCTTATCCGTTCCTGGCTACCTGCTTGGGGGGTTGGATCCTCTGACGCCTGACACCTCTGTAGGATCACCCTGACTTTGGAATGCCCTCTCCTCTCAGGTGCAAGCAGCACCAAAACACTGATGGGAGTTGTGATGACAGTAAAAACACAGCTGCCCATTCAAGCATTTGATTCAAGTAGTACCTCTTGCTTGGATGATGTAGTTATGTTGCTAGAATACTGTCTGTTTTCTACATTAAAGCTGTTTTTAAATGAAATATTGTTTTATTGTATTTTAATGTCTCTTGCTCTGGGGTTGTGTGAACAATGAGGAGAGGTTTATAAATTATTCAAATAGATAACATGTGCTTCAGTTTGAAGTGTAACAATACCAAATACTATTTCTGAACCCTGTTGATTTTGGTACACAAATTTGACAGGGTTGGAAAAGCACTTAAGCCACCTCAAATCATATTTTTGCCTCCTGACAAATATCCCCAGATGTTATAGATCTGTGAGACCAAGCTGACCTTTGGAGCACCGCACACTCTGCCTGCAGATGTTCTCAACATTTCAGTTTTCCTTCAGCTAACTGACACCTCAACGAATCGTTTTCAATGCCTTTCTAAAACAGGCATTAGCCGTCACCCCAATGAGCAGAGCCCATTGGAAAACGCTGGCAGGGATTCAAAAAGCATTTCGTTCATTGTGTCCCTCTCAAACCGACTTCAGTCAACAAAGCAAGAACAGGAACATAGTGGTGAGAGGAAGCGAGGAGATAGAACAGATCAAAGGTAAACATGAGGCAACATTCAGGATTTGTAAGTGGTGCCTGCTGTCAAGAGAGAAATGCTACAGGACATGAAAATGATAAATTCTCAGAACTCTCAGATCTAGTACTAGTAGTTGTTTGGGGAACTGGTGCTTTGGGTTTTTTGAATGGGGATTCTTTTATTTTGAAGGGACAAGCTTGGGTGTGTATCCCCATCCTGAATATATTGGCTGGACGTGTATGCAAAGTCATATCTTTATTTACATATTGTTATTTGGGAGCTTGTTGAAGACTTTCCTTTTTCAGCAAGCCTTCTAAGTGGAGATTGATACCCCATATGGTATCTGTAGTAGAGGATTTGAAACTGATTTCATTCGTTCATTTTGTTGTGGCTTGTTTAATTTGTGATTGTTTTTCGCATTTGCTTTGAATTTGTTTTAATATGTGCAATTGTTTTAACTGTTTTTAGATACGCGGTCCTTTTATATACGTATTGCTAACCGCTTTGAGATGCCTTGTGGGAAGTGATTCGTTGATAATAACAACAATATACGAGATGGGGAGAAAGATGAAATAAACCAAAGAATGAGAGCTTATTTCACACGCCTTTTCCATGGGACTGTCAGTGTTCCGGAGGAATCAGTTCCAGGGGAAAGACCCATGTGAGTGGCCATGCTCACATGTCTGAATCATTTAAATGTTTTCCCAGCCATTGCATGGGCAATGCATGGATAAGCAAGTTCTAATGCAGCCAGGAGGATGCCCAAAGAGAACCTTAATGAATCCACATCTTGGTCGGCTAAGAAGCATCCAGTGCTGTTCCATGCGCATAAGAAGCACAAGAGAAGCAACTCAGTGGTAAACTATTTATAGGGGGGAAATCAAATTTTTATCTCTAACACATCCAGGTAATTGAATGGTTGCAGGTGGTGCTTAAAATAAATTATTGGGAGGGATGGAGGGACAACTATTGTCTTAAAAGTCTATGGGATCGCAGGACTTGTCCCCAATCAAGGGCCTCCTACCTTCCTCCCTATTATTTGATTCATGACTGAAGATAGTAGATTCATAACTGAAGAAGCCTTCCATTGCAAGGTGGAGTCAACAGTACAGAACTACATAAACCAATGGTCTGATTCTATATAAGGCAGCTTCACCTGCTCACATTTTTGTCATTTTCATCCATGTACTCCAGAGTCCAGTGTGTGTTCACATGTATATACCCAGTGCTTTTTTTCTTAAAAAAAATGTTTAGGGGTACTCTCATTTTCCTACTCATATTGAAATACTGCCCCTCAATGAGGCCAAACTTAGATTTGCAAAATGTTTAGGGATATGTGTACCCCTGCGTACACCCAGGGGAAAAAAGGGCTGTACATAGTAGCTACTCTATGAATGCTAGCCGACAACCATTGTTAGAAAGCAGCATATCTAACTACCGACAGAGAATAGGATCCCACAGCAGCCGCTCGATGCAGATAGGAGGCCTTCTGCTAGCAGCAATAGGATTCCAAGCAAGTTTATTTTCTCGTAACAAATGCTTGCAAAGTCATCCTTTCGACAGGATCAAAAGCAAGCTAAATGGTCTGACATTTCCCCAAAATGCATCAGCATGATTCATACCGATATGCCCAGTTGCTTGTGTATGTACTGAAATCAACATAGCGAGCAAAACTTCCAATCCATAGTTTTAAGAAATCTGCAAAAGTTTAAGAGGTACATGACAAACAGCTTACCGTATTGATTCCCAAGCCATTCAGCATATATAGCACATCTTCTGTGGCTACATTGCCTGTGGCACCTTTCGCATAGGGGCAACCTCCTAAGCCGGCAGCAGCAGAATCCACAACATGAACTCCCATCTAAAAAACAATCAAAAGCAATAATTCTCAATTCAATATGCTCACTGGAGTGGGCTGAACCAAAAGAAAAAAGAAAAAAAAAGAAAAAGAAGGCCAACACATATAGAGAGCATTTTCTGCATTTTCAGGCAATTTCTCTTCATTTTCTATTCTACATTTAAACTTGTGTTTTATTGTGGCTTATTTTAGACAATAATTTGAGTTATCTGGGAAGGTTAACACATTCCTGCTTTGTTATACAGTTGTACCTTGGACGGAATCCGTTCCGGTAGTCCGTTCAACTTCCAAAACGTTCAGAAACCAAAGCACGGCTTCTGATTGGCTGCAGGAAGCTCCTGCAGCCAATCGGAAGCCACGGAAGCCCCGTTGGATGTTTGGGTTCCAAAGAATGTTTGCAAACCAGAAGACTCGCTTCCGGGTTTGTGGCATTCGGGAGCCAAAACATCTGAGTACCAAGGCATTTGGGATCCAAGGTATGACTGTATATTTGAACCTACCATTTTTTAAAAAAATCATAATTTTTGAAACATATTTGTACATTCTTTTACTACCACAACCTGCTGTGTGACCATAGGATGAAAGAGATGGGTAAGGAATCCAAATGATGATGATGATGATGATGATGATGATATCAATAAGCTCTGGAGAACCAGTAGCTTAAGCTGATGTGTTCAAAAGCGGGGAAGGAACCATCCACTAGGTGGAAAGCAATCACTGGAACCTCAATGTTCATATATATATGCTATGAATTGCAGCTGTGGACAGAACAGAGGTTTCAAGCTTTTGATCACAGATGAAAATAATTTTCCAAGTGTTTCTCAAACAGATCATCCCAGTCATCTGCATCCATCTTCTCTTGCATTTGGCATGTTTCCTCCACTGCAATCAAGCAAAATGGATTTTTTGGCACTCAGTTTCAGCTTAATCATTGTGTGGGCTCCTTCAAATATCTGCAGACAGTGTAATTTGAAGTTTCATTTGAAGCTAACAATTAAACACATACACCCCACTGGTCTGAATAGCTTGGAGTCAGCAAGCCAAGTGCAGCCTGGGCTGTATTCTGGCCTGCCTGGTGTTTAATTACTTCCACATTTTGGCATGCAAAGACACCCAAATTGAAATGCTTATGGAGTTCATACTGGACTTCCCATGTATGGACTGTGGTTTTGGGACACGGTACTATAAATTAAATCTAAATTATTATTCTTTATTAACTGCCTTTCACCCTAAGGTCCCAGGGCAGGTCACAACATTTAAACACAATGTTAAAAGCTGATTAAAACAACTTACAATAAAAAATAAGGTGGATATGCATGATGTGAATAACTTATTTTGCTATGACGCTTTGATAAAAAAGAAAAACAAGATGAAAACTGTTCCTTCACTGACCACTTGGAGTCACTGTTGCCTCAAGAAGTGCCATTTTCTGTTTGTGCTACTGATAACTGGACAACTTTTTCTGTTTAAGCTGCTGGCTAAGTGGACAGTAAGATGTCCCCATTATTCAGCATTGGGTTTTTTGAAGATAGGATATTCAAACTAGCAGAGTGGGGAATGTGCCACTTCTAAGGGCATAAAAATGGCAGCTTAAATGTAAGCTTGCCATATGTCCTAAATTTCCCAGACATATATCCGGAATGCTGCGGTCTGTCAAATGTCCAGGAAAACCCGGATGAATGGCAGCCCATGTTGGCAGTGCCATTTTTGCTGATTTCCCTTTAAAATAGTTCAAAAAATGGCATTTATTTATTTATTGCCGCCCAGATTTTCACTGTTTGAAATATGGCAACCCTATCTAAGAGCCAGTGCTTTCTACAATACAGAATGTTATAGTTACGTGAGTTTCACGAGCCTCAAAATTCCACATTTTGTTGCATCTCTCTGTGTGTTTAGATATAGGTATATAGATCTAGATGTAAAACGTGCGGAGTTCTACATTTCTCAGCTCCAGACAAATGCTATAATTTTCAGCAGGACTGAACCAAGATCAAGAGGGCCGGTGGCAAAATGTCACATTCAGGGATCATCTCCTATCAATAGCCCCCATCAGTGATGCAGGCCCTGAGCCAATTTTTCATATTTAACAACGCATCCTCCCTTCTCCCCAGTTGTTCCAATGTTGAATGACATCTGACCGCAGTCTTGAATTTTCCCACAGTGACCCAGAATTCAAGTGCCCTGATACTGAGGGGAATGTAGAGAGATGGACATAACTCTGTTTTTGTGAATAAGATGGCTGTCACACGCAGAAAACATGGCTGCCATGGGGTGGGGCTTTTGTGGCATTGGCCATCTTCCTCTCCCCCCCTACTTGCCCGCCCACAACAAATCATTTTGTTCTTCAAATCAACACACTGAGAAGTGTTTCACTTTGACTCAATCTTGAAACATTTGATGTAGTACCGATAGAAAATGCAATGTGTGAAGCGCTGCAAAACCTGCTCTGCCCCACCAAAAGGAACGTTTTACCAGCCACTAAATTAAGTATTAAATGAAAAGGGTGCAACTGTTGAGATTGGGATCTAGTCTGCATACACACCAGAAGTTGAAAACACATGTAAAGCACATTATTCCCCTCACCAAGGAATCCTGGGTAATTTGTTAAGGGTGCTGGGAATTGTAGGTCAGTGTTAGATAGACTGCACGTCTCAGGAATCTTTGGGGGGAAATCATGTGCTTTAAATGTATGGGGTGTAACTTGGGTCTTTCATCATTGGATGGCTTAGAACTGCACCCTATTTTAAAATGGCAATAACTGGCTCTATTCATGAAGCTGTTATAAGCAAAAGTTTTTACAAATTCCTACAAAACAAAGGGTAAAACCTTTCCAAAGTTTATGCCTGCTTGAGTCCCATTCAGTTCAGACCGAGTGTTAAGCAATCCCCATTCAAACTAATGGGACAGCTTTAAAAGTCCAGACTTCTCACAGCAAAGTCCCCAAAACAGAGTAAAACCTGGCAGCAGGATCTTAGCCCCACAACACTTTGTTGTTTTAGCCCAGGGGTCAGCAAACCTTTACAGCAGGACGCCAGTTCACTGTCCCTCAGACCTTGTGGGGGGCCGGACTATATTTTGAAAAAAAGTAATGAACAAGTTCCTTTGCCCTACAAATAACCCAGAGATGCATTTTAAATAAAAGGAAACATTCTACTCATGTAAAAACATGCTGATTCTCGGACCGTCCATGGGCCGGATTTAGAAGGCGATTGGGCCGGATCCAGCCCCCAGGCCATAGTTTGCCTACCCATGTTTTAGCCTAAAAGCTAAAAGAAACGTTACATTTCCTCCCCCTCTCCCCATATTAATTGGCCTGCTTTTTATGGGGGCTTCTTTCCAGTGTCTCAAGGCAACAGCTGCAAAAAACCTTATTTTTCCTTTTAGGAGTGTCTAGATGTGCAACCTTGCCCTGAAGATCCAGTCTTGGTTGCAGGTGTTTGTACAACGCCACCTTCAACATTCACAGCGTTATCGTACTAAAAGTTCTTCTGGATTATTTATCCAGCAATGAAAAACTGCACCAACGACTCCAAGATATATTCTGGTAAACCTTCACTGTGGAACAGACAGATGTTAAAGCAATACAACTCATGGCTTAGACCCTGTGTTTTCAGCTAATCCATAAATGCATCATTTCTGGTTCTTTTTCTACATTGTTTTTAGGTAGAGATTATTTGGAAGCACATTGCAGAGAAAAAACCCCACCACTCTTTATTTATGTGATAAACAGTAAAATAAAATAAAATGTTATACAAAGAATAAATACTAAGACAGTATGAAGAGTACATCAGCACGTTAGTGCAGGTTTTTTTATGTCTCTCTAGTTCAGGTTTTCACTTCATCAGAACTTACCAAGGATCAATGTCACCTGAGGCTAAGGGACCAAAATGAACCTTGTATCATAAACAGTGGAACCTCTACTCACGTACGGAATCCGTTCCGGAGGTCCGTTCGTGAGTCGATCCTGGTCGCTGGTAGAAGCACCATTCTGCGCATGTGCAGACGGCAGAAGCCACTTCTGCGCGTGCGTGAATCGCGGCAAACCCAGTATTTACTTCCGGGTTTGCTGCGGTCACGAGTCGAATTGTTCATGAGTAGGGGTGGTGGTAAGTCGAGGTTCTACTGTACAAGCTATGAATGTGAAACAGTGACTTCCACATCTTAACCACATTTTAGTCTTACGATCAACAGCAGCCTTTCTTTAGCTTGGGTCCCCAGATGTTGTTGGACTACAACTCCCATCATCCCTGACCACTGGTCCTGCTAGCTAGGGAAGATGGGAGTTGTAGTTCAACCACGCCTGGTTGGAAAAGGTTGATCTTGAGGGCCCAAAAGGGAGGGAGTCGTATCCTCAATCCATCAAACAGTGTCAGTGTGGAAGACCTAAAACATTGCAAACAACCTTCACTAATCTTTTCTTTCATTCATTTTACAAGGATAAAAATAAAGTTGTCCAGCTATCTGGCCAGACTAAATGCAACTCCTGGCATTTATTGCAGCAGGAGAGCTACACAGGTGCACTCTCATTTTCAGCTCCATTTGGGGAAACAGAGACGACCGTCTCCTTTCCAGTGCCATTAACTTATTTACAGCTGGACCTGGAGACATTCTATTCATCATCACAAAGTATAAAGCCAAATGTCCCTTCCTCCTCCCTCCTTATTTCTTCCCCCTTTTTTTTTTCAGGAGCACCACAGATTAACAGGTTAGAATGTTTTCCACATGTCCATTTTTACTGTCAGGAGAATATTAAAGACGTTTTCCAGCTTCCGCAGCTCAGCCAGATGTCCGTGGATCCCACGGTGAGAGCAAAATTGGCAAAGTAGCCTTCTCATGACCCCAGCATTGTTTTATCAAGGATCGGTTTTAAAGTATAAAGGGCCGTTTCTTGCTGAGATCCGTAATGTTTTGCAGCCCTTTCCCCTGCAATTACACAAAAGTGCTGACTTTGTTGAACTACTGATACGCGGTAGTATTTCTTATGACTCCTCTCACACTGTGCTGTAATTGATGTTTGCCTTGGCACCCGAAAGGTACCAGGTCTTATTTCCACTGTACATTTCCGGACACTGGTTTCAGTAACATCAGCGTAGGATATTGTACTGGGCGTATGTTTTGTTGTGTAAACATTCGCTGGTGATTTACCCTGTCAATCTCCGCAGACTAGCCTCTAATTACCAGGGGCCTCAGATGGACAATTCCTAACATATTTTCTATAGCTGCACCAGTTGGTTTGCCCTTCACTGATGTTGTCAGGAGGCAGAGGAACCAACCCCCAAGGCAGGTTGCCAGGAACGGATAAGACAAGGAAAACTCATTACCACCTGCTTTTTATTCAATATTCACAGAGAGAGGCTTGGGAACTGTAGAGCTTCTTCTTCTTCTTCTTCCTTTTTTTTTTTACAAAAACACCAAAAAACCATGATTTTTCAATGGACGCCTGATTTTTCCAGGGCAAAGCACCCTATTTCGGAAATTCCCTCTGGACATCATTTCTGCCTTTGAAATCTGGACATATGGCAGCCCTAATTTAATTTGTTGTACAAGCATACAACTGATTACTACAACTAATAAAGCACGCACACTGTAAAGAATTTTTTTTCTAAGCGCTTCCTTTTAAAAAATTAAAAGAAAAAGCAAGGAGTTTGATTCCATAAATCTATGAAACTTTTGGGAAAGGCCTTGTTCACAGCATTTGGAAGAAATTTTCTTCTAGTCCAGAAAAAAAGTGTCTGTTTCTGACCCAAAGAGGGAGAGATGGAGAGGGAGAAAGAGAGAGTCTAGCCCTGATCCCTTTGGAACTGGAGGATACCAGCTCTTAACATAGTAATTTAAGCAGTCAAGTTAAAAAAGGCACAGTAAGATGATAAAAGGAGATCTATAAAGAGGCTACTGCTGCGATTGCGTGGGAGGGTGGCTATTAAAACAGCGTCGGGGGGCCCTTTCCACACAACAATCTGCTTTTTCCCTTTTCTTCTAGTGCTATACTTGCACTACTGTGAATCCAGCATCAGATCCCACGTAGCAAAACAAAGGTACCCTAGTTATAGAATAGATAGCCCTACTGCAGAATACTTTCATCATCATCATCATCGAATCTTTAAAATTAAAAAAAAGGAAATTGCCATAACATGTTGAGGAACTGCTAAGGAAAGAGGAAGCCTTGATGATGCTGGCCACTTCTGTTTGTTGGCTTCTTTAAGGGCTATATCAACATTCACCAACCGGGTGCCCTCCAAATATTTTAGACCACAACTCCAATCAGCCCAGGCAAGGCTGGGACATAGGAGCATGTCTGCCTTGGAGCGATCAGTCCCTAACAGCATGATCCTGCACCTGTCTGCTCAGAAGTCTACATGAGTTTAGTGAGTCTTACCTCCAGTAAGATTGCAGCCTAAAGCACTTTAAATATATACATTTTTTAAAACTTTATAAAGCTTATAATTAAATAATAACAAGGCACTGGAGGATAGGACTTGAGTTTTGGTGCTTCTCACTAGTAAACATCATCATATCCAATAGAGGTCTACAACACTCACACAACCTTATTCCAATATAGCCAACTCTTGGAACTAAACAATGGGGTAAAGAGGTGGGGGAAGCAAAATGACATTTCCCCAGAAGGAGTAAGGTAAGGTAAAGGCAAAGGACCCCTGGATGGGTAAGTCCAGTCAAAGGCGACTATGGGGTTGCAGCACTCATCTTGTTTTCAGGCCGAGGGAGCCGGCGTTTGTCCACAGACAGCTTTCCGGGTCATGTGGCCAGCAGGACTAAACCGCTTCTGGCACAACGGGACACCATGTTGGAAACCAGAGCACACGGAAATGCTGTTTACCTTCCCGCTGGAGCAGTACCTGTTTATCTACTTGTACTGGTGTGCTTTCAAACTGCTAGATTGACAGGAGCTGGGACAAAGCAACGGGAGCTCACTCCATTGTGGGAATTTGAACCACCAACCTTCTGATCGGCAAGCCCAAGAGGCTCAGTGGTTTAGACCACAGCACCACCCATGTCCCCAGAAGGAATATTGTGGTAGGGGCACTCTAAGTGCCACATTTCCTTCAACGAGAGCTAGGGACGGCGAAGAAATCTGGTTCACATTTTAATATGAAACTCCCTAGTTCACAGTTCCTGAAACAATACGTGAACCGGTTATGCTTCTCGATTTGTACTTCTGCAAATGTGCACATCACATTTGCGTATCATGGCATATAAAAATGTTTATATCGGGAGATATTGGCACTAAAACTCTGGCGAATTTTCATGAGGACTTTTTAAAAATGCACACTGATGTGGAAACATGAAGAACTGAAATTAAGACTGGAAAATGGGAAATGGGAGAAAACAAAATTGAAAGATTCATCCATCTCGTGCCGGAGCTCTGCCTTGAGAAAAGGTACCTAGAGTCTGTGTAGCACATGGATAACAATTGTACACTTAGTGTACACACACACATATTAAGAAAGGCACCAGGAAAACAGCAGTGAATGATAGAATTAAAGGAGACGAGGCATCTGTTTGTTATATTTTCCATTTTCCTGTGGAACTACCAGCCTAATCCCCACTTCGCTTATGCATTAAAGCGGTCAATGTTAAGGGAAAAGGGTGATTTGAGGAAGCCATCAGAGCCAAAGTGTAAGCAGAAAACATGATAATGCACACATAAAATTAAGGCTTAACAACTCATCTTGTATGACATGGATCCTACTAAAAGTTTTTATGCAGCTGAGCTGCAGTTTAACTTGAACCTGAATGGGCCTCAGATGGGATATTGTATGTAGTTTTGGTCACCACTTTGGCACATTGAGGAGAATCTAAGAGGCAAAGAGCCCAGAAGAGATTCCCCCCCTTTCTTTCTGTGTTTAAAGCGGGGGGAGTTTAGAATGCCAGATGTATGAAAAATAAGACTTTAAAATGAGGGGATTTTTTCCTAGAATGGGGTGCTCAGAGTATGGCCTAAACAAAAACAATAAAGTGTATTCAAAGCATTTCCAAATTTCATGAAGAAAGCAGAAATGACATGGTGATGGTCCTGAGATAGGACAAATGATGGATGCTTCTTCTTCGTATCTGATCTGAGCAACCAGCTAGGTATAAGACCAACCTGAGTGACATGTGCTGAGAGCTACAAATGATTTCCAAATATAGAAGCCCTCCTCTGACAACTTATGAGGTGTAAAATGCTTTTCAAAAACAACACAAGACTCCTGAGAAGGCAAAAGCGATTCCTCGTGCTAACAGAAAGGCAGTGATATATGTGACAGATGATGCTGACTGGCTATGAAGAGCTGAAAAATTCACAGTGGAGGAGTTACATATTTAATTAAAAAGCCTGAAATACAAATTACCTCCAGGAGAAATCAATTTAATAAAGCCCAGAGGAAACCAGAGGCAAAAGAGCCATATAAAGTGGTAGGCCCAAATCCATCCCTCATCCTTCCCCTTTTCTTCAGTGAAATTAAGGCTTCTGAATTTTACACAACTCTGTAAACACTGCATAGATTTTATCCCTGGTTGACGCTGCAACTCCCAGCGGGCCATTTGTTATATATTCTTGAGGAATGCTTATTTCCAGAATAAGAACAACTCTAGGGAAAGATCGCTGAGGTTCTGAACTAAGGGCACATTTGCACCATCCATTTCAAGATCTATGACACCACTTTAAACAGCCATGGCTTCCCCCAAATTATTATGGGAGCTGTAGTTTCTTAAGGGGGCTGCAAGTTGTTATGAGACTCCTTCCTGAAACCCTGCCAGTCAGTGTAGACCAAGGGATCCCAAACTTGGGTCTCCAGAGGTATTTGGATTACAGTTCCCATCATTTCTGACCTCTGTTTCTGCTAGTTTAGGATGATTGGAGTTGTAGTCCAAAAACAGCCGAAGACCCAAGTTTGGGAAACCTTGGAATATTGAGCTAGATAGACCAGTGACGTGACCCAATATAAGACAGCTTCCTATGTGTCTCAGTTCATATTGTTTTCTTGGAAGAGTTCAAAAATGAGTTGGATGTTTGGCAGGGAAACCAACCCAGTAAATGTTATGGACTACTGGATCTCAAGACAAGGGCCTGGATCCAGCTGGGTGCACATGCAGGAACTGGGCAAAATATGAAAAGCTTTCTTTAAAAACAACTGTTGTGGCTGATCAGCTGCTTGATGGGGAACTTCATTTACTTGGTCCGCTTCACCTTCCCTTGTCTTAATCCAGTTTCCTGTGCCTATTAGCATGATTCTTGCTTCCAAAAGAGCCTCTGACATGGCCGTTGTAGAGTGCAGGGTGAAGCTAGAGGCCCCCTTTCCAGTCCCTGACACTTCAGAACAGTGCAAAAGCCTCATATATTCAAATATTACTAAATAGTGGTAACGCCAGTAAGAGCAACAGTGAGTAAACACATCATTTCAAAAAGTCTTTGGAGAACTTGTTAAAAATATCTAAAGGAAGCACCGTATCGTTTGATAGCATTCTGGGTTATATAATTCTAGGATAGTTTATTTGCGTTTTGCATTGCAAGGCCAAACTACACATTGCACAAGGAGATCCAAGATTCCAAATCCTGATATTTTGAGTTTAACTTTAAAAGCTGCCAGGGGCAGGGGGCTTCCAAATTATCCTGTGCCATTCTCTTAATCTAACACCCCACCTCCAAAGTTGTCGTTAGCTGCTGCAGAGAGGACACATACAGGCTCCTAGACACACCCGACAACCATAAAAGGCAAGAATGCCATGATTCAATTCTATATGTAGCATCAGACTAAGCACCATGTGCTATTGATATGGTTTTCCAGAAGATGCAGGTTTGGGGAATTGCCGGACTGAAAAAAAACCTGTGTCTATTTATAAAATAAATCCTGTTACACTTACCGTTTTCCTCCAAAATTCACTCTGCTTCCTGAAGGATATATTGGCCATATAAGTAATGGGGATCCAAAAATATCTGGACTCCATTGTTTCTCACGCTAGTCTACTTCCCCACCCCCTGCTAACTACATGGAAAATTGGAGATCTTATCTTCATTTTCCATGGTTCTGTAAGACATATGTTAAAGAAATAGAATCTGGGAACTGGAGACTGAATCTTCCACCACCTCGTTGGTATGATCACAGCAGGAAACCTTTTTTTATATTTACAATTTTTATTTATTTCAGCCACTTAACAAAATTTGTTTATTACTCTTGTCTAATCCTTAAGATTAAGATTTCTAGTACAACACTCTGAAAAATCAAAGCACAGAATGCTCACTACATATTTGGCAATTTTCCATATAGAATTCAGAAGACCAAGCCGTGTGTGTGTGTGTGTGTGTGTGTCTTAACAAGTATATACAATTGTTTCTTCTAACTTGGTTTGTGAATGCAGAAGATGCTACCAAATCCCAATAAATGGTTATCACTTTTTCATCAAATACTCCACTTTTATTTTATGAAGTCAACACAACATATATCAAATGACACCTATGAATGAGACAGAGAGTATAAAAAGGTGCCAGCGATACAGATCACTCTACATGTAGATATGTTGCTACAGCTGAATACTACCACTCCTTTATCATCCTTCTCCCAAAATCCTCACCAGTTGCCCCCTTCTACATTAGCTCCAAGCTCCTAATGCAGGTCTTTTGAATGATGTCCTGGTACAGTTTGTGTGGATTCTACCTTAGAGCATTTCTTGACTTTGCTCTCAGCTGCAACTGTTAAGCACTGAACTAGGAGCTGCAACTTGAAGAATGTCAAAGAAAAAAATACCTCCTCTCATAAATCTTTTGACCTACCACTGGTGCAGTGGATCATCTCTGCTGATTCTACTAATATAAGATGTTGGCATTCTACATGTGTTGAGTGTGGATGATCACCAGCACTTTGGCTGAGAAAACCAGCCAATCATGTGTGAACACTGCATCTGGGTTGAAAAAAATGTTCCTAAATTGGCCTACACAGTGACAGTCATAACCCACAAACAAATCATAATATATACCCGATGTTGTCAAATCCCCCTGCAAGAAGATCAGGATTAATGGCCAATAAACAGGTAGCCTGGAAGCGCCCTGAGTATCTGGGCAGAAACTATGCTGTTTTGGGCTCTGTACAAGCCTCCAGCAAGTTGTTAAATCCAAATGTAATGTTGAGTTGTTATGGTAGAAGCAGTAACAATACCGGTCATGGTAGGAGCAACTAGTATCGGTTATACATCTTGTTGGTCCAGATTGTTTCCTTCTCCCTTGGAGGTCGCACAGTTTCCTATAAATAATGGTTTGCCATTGCACATTGCCTTTGACATGTTATCCAGTCTACACATGCAGTTTTACTCAAAGCACTCTTTTTACTCAAACAGCCAGCCACGCCTCCTCCTTCTTGCTGACTTTGTCACTTCTATAAATTCTATAGTCTGATATTTTAATATCCCAGTTTCTGGGTTCAGCCAAGTTTCAGCCACCAAGCAAAGACTTAGCCATACTTCTGTTTAAAATCTTATTGTTTTGAAACATTCCTTCATATGCTTTTTTCATTTGCACCAAAAACACACTATTTAGAAAGACATCATATCCCAATTTGATGCCTGGCATTTATTCCTTTCAGTGGCATCAACAATTAGTTCAGGCTTCAAACTACTTACTCTGGAGAAATCTTTTTATTTTTATTTTAGCAATGCCTCTTCAGGGTAAATGGCTTGAGCACTGTAATCTTAACCTTTGAATGTTTTGGCTAAGCAGCCAGCCACAGTGGCGTAGCGAGGGGGTGCAGGGGGGGATGGCTGCACCGGGTGCAACATCTGGGGGGGCGCGCTGGCACTCGCAGCTCTCTGTCCCTACTAAAATCCACGGGTTAGGGGGCGCAAATTACTTGCCTTGCCCCGGGTGCTGACAACCCACGCTACGCCACTGGCCAGCCATCTTTCACTACTTACTCTTTCGTTAGAACAACCCTTATAAAACCTCTTAGGTAGTTTCTTATGCAGATTCAGTGACTTCGTCCAATATCATTTGGAGTAGGGCACAACTGAATGATGGAAAGTTTTCCTCAGCAAATACCATCAAAGTACTGTTATTTGAGGGGGGAGGGTTGGAGGCTGAGTACTATCGCTGCCAGAATAGAAAACAAAATAGTGGGCACAAACATGCTGAGCAGAAGAAGACAGCAACAATCTAGAGAACTGGTGCAAGAATATTACAGCCTACAGTTCGCTAAATAATAGGAGACAGAATGTTGCTCTGCTTTCATTCATCCAGGAATTGTCTTTACAGGAATTGTCTTTATACTTCTCATTGTTATGCTAGTTTATTTCTCCTGCTAAATAAAGATGTTAAATTTACTCAGGCAGGGGTCAACAATTTTTACAGACATGTAAAGCCCGACTGTATACATACCCTACCCAAAGCTTAGAGCTTATGCAGGTACATTGCAGGCAAACACATACAACTAAGGGAGCCCCTTTTAAAGGGGTGGGTAACAAAAATACTTTTCAGAGAAGTCACAACCCTTTCTTGTCTACCATTTCACCTCTCCAATGAAAGAAAGAAAGAAAGAAAGAAAGAACAGACGGATGGACAGAAGGAAGGAAGGAAGGAAGGAAGGAAGGAAGGGAAAAGCTGTTTACTCTAGCTTTTCAGAAGCGTGCATTGTTCAACTCCAGAGAAAGTATAATTTTGTCAGGCCAAGTGCAAATGTTGTAATGTGCCCCATTTCCTACAATCCTGTTTTGAAAAAGTGGAGGACTGACTTTTGCCCTTCCATTTTTTCCCATTTTCTTTAGGTTCCCTGCATTTCTAGGTACCCACATTGTATTCCTAGTCCCAGCAATACGGTATGTATCCATCTATGTATATACCTATGTATATTATACACACATGACAATGGCCTTTCAGTGATGCTCCCGGTCCCTGGGAATCTGCTGTCAGTTCCCATATCTATGCGCTCCAGGGACCAAAGGGCTCATTCATTTACTGACATGTGTTCAGGGGCCTGTAAATTCGATCAGCAGCACTGCCTCCCACTGTCCTTGGGATTTCAAGGTTCCCTGATTTATTCTGGTGCTCATCCTTTCCTCCTGCTGCCATTCCCTGTTGGCCCTGCCTGCCTAGAGGCAATGCCAACAGGGATCAAGGAACCTGGAACTTCTGGTTCATAAATATCCTCTGGCGCCACCTACAATTTAGCCTCATCTCCCCCATCCCACTCACTGCTAGTACAAATGAACTTTCTCTCTGTGCTAATTGAGAAATGTGTTTTATTCCCAGCCACTGAATTAGCTACAGCAGTAGCTGAAAGTAAGCAGTATCTTATAATGAAGCAACATTTCAATATAGAAGCTCAAAGGCAATATCCAGGCAGCATAATCTATTGGTCCAATTCAAGGGATGCAGCAAAGTGTAAATAATACTTAGGTTGGGGCCAGCTCGTTCTTCTCTTCCTTTCTCACAGTCTTTTCTGGTCTCTCCCAGTCCTGCTTATCCTCTTTCAGGTTTCATTTCTTAGATTACTGCATTCTCATTCTTCTACTTATAGCTATCTTGCCTCTGGGGACTTTCCCGCTTGACTCCTATTTTGTAGGAGCATCATCCACTCAGTTTTCTACTGGTCCGCAGCTTCCTTTACTATACACAACTCCTGTTTTCAAGGTCAGTTTTTGGATTGCCTCACAGTTAATCTCATCTATCTATCTATCTATCTATCTATCTATCATCTATCTATCTACCATCTATCTATCTAATCTATCTATCTATCATCTATCTCTCTCCCTACCCATCCACCTCAATCTCCAAAGCTAGGCTGTTTAGGACAGGTATTCTGGAAGGTTCCATTCCCTCACAATTTAGACATTGCAGCTCAATAAACGGGCATCTAGGATTCTCAACTGCCACATTTTGGCTCGGCCATAGATAGCACGATGCAAATTGCCTTTCATAGTTCATCAACAGTACTGCAGTCACACTGCCAGAAAACAACACACATAAGACCTCTTTGGGAATTCAGCCTGTACATGTGAGAGGGGGAGTATGTGCCAGCCCTTGACCCCCTATGCTTCTGGGTGTGTCGGGTGAATCCACTCCACACTGACCTTCCCACATTGAGCTGGAAGGTCTTCTAAGCACACATGGCTGAACACACTTCGAAGTCTTTGGGATGCAAAAAGTCTCAGGTTCAACGTCCCAGTTTCAGGAAGACTGCTAAGCATATTCAGCCAGTTCCCTTCAGATTTCTGTGCTGAACATGCCAAGACTGGCACTGGAGGGGGCAGCGTTGACATATGGCCCCTGCTCCACTATATACCTCTCCCCTCATGTGTTCATGAACATCTTAAGAGGGCTACAATATCCTGCATTATTATTTTTTAACATGTTGCTATGAAAAATTATAGAACAGAGCTAAGATCTTCAGAAAGAAATGCGGTTCTGTTAGGGAAAATGCTTGGAGTATCCCAGTTAATGAATTCTACAGGCTTTGGGGTTTTTTTGTTTTTAAGTCTCCTTTATCCACATGCAGATTAATTCCTGTCTTTCTAAGTTAAGAGGCACCACAAATGTGCACTTTGAAACTAGTTAGCGTCAGACTCTGACTGTTGCAGTCAGTAGCAAATGTTGGAATAAAACCCACGTCCCCATCGTTTCATTTGGAATTATAATTTAACAGCACTCTGCCTAAAAGGAAGCATGTCTAATATATTAGTGAGTTTTCATATAGTAAAGCTCGGGCAATTCATCATGCAGCAGGTTTTCAATACGACAATTCAGTAGTCACCAGCTGGGACCAGAAAAAAATATTTTCCTGAGGACATTTCCAATTTCCACTTTTCCTAAAGCCTTGGAAATAGCACTTAAAGTAGCAATATATTATGATACGATGCAGAGTGGTACTGAAGAAACTTCTGTATTTGTTGCTAGACGGCTGGGTTACTCTTGAACTGTTAAGAGTCTAACAGTACAATCAATCCCATACAGAGCATCTAAGCCACTAGACTGCAGCCAACTCGGCTACAGATTCATTTGCAATGTTTGGGTGCAAGATGCTTGGTAGGGTATAAAGTGAAGAAGCACACAGAAAGGCATAAACAAATCAAATAGTCCATATCGTATGCATAATAATTCACAGGTTGCTATATTTTGCACTGGCCCATGGTGTTCTATCGATTTCTGTCCACTTTTGCGATCTTTTCCCGTTATATATTTTTCTACATGTGCAACTGAACTCCTTGTTTTCGAAGGAGATTGTGGACAAATATGTAAAGCGTGCCCATCAATGACAGCCACCCGCAGATTGATGCAGTACAGAAATGTGCGACTCGCTTTAAGCTATAGCATGTGATCCTCAGCTCATGACTTACACCTGGCCTGGACCCAACCCAGATCATACATTAACATCATACATTAACATCAGCAGTGAGAGAGTCACTGCAGGCAGCTACAGCTACCTGCCTATCTAGGTAACCTTGGGGGGAAACTGATCACATGGGTGGGGCAGCAATACGGTGGCTTATGAGCATTTAAAATAGCCTTACAGTGAGTCGGAGCACAGGGGCACCCAGTCTAGTACAGTGGCATCTCCAGGTAAGGCAAAGAGATAAGTTTGTCTGCAATCCTGAAAAGTCATTAGCAGTCTGTGGAGATAACACCAAGCTAGATGGACCGATAGTCCGACTCTAACACCGACTGACAGCAGCCACTATCCAGGATCCAAGGCAGTGCTCTTTCCCATCAACTGCTACCTGATCCTTTACCTGGGATTGAATCTGGGAGCATTCAAAGCACACGGTCTACCAGTGAGCATCTCCCTAGCATGGGAGCAGCCATGCCCAAGAGGATGCAAGGATGAATGAAGCTAGCGCCGAGAAAACTGTATTTGGATGAGACCAGAGACTGGATCTTACCTGCATCGCTGTGAGGATATTGGCTAAAGCCTGGCCGTAGGTGTCATGGCAATGCACTGCAATTGCTGCCACGGGGAGCTCCATCATAACAGATTCCAGCATGCGCTTCATGCTGCCAGGGGTCCCCACACCTATGGTGTCTCCAAGGGATATCTCATAGCAACCCATGCTGTATAGCCGTTTGGAGACCTGGGGAGGGAATGGTAGGAGAACCAAACATAAGCAAAAGTAATATGTATTTACAGAAAAAAATTCAGGGAGGCGAGGCAAATGTAGAATGAAGGGTGCATTGGACGCACCTAAAAGGTATTTCTCTGTGCTGGCATCCTAGGCCCAGGTGGCATGAGCATCGTCTAGCGCTTGAAAGCAAGAGTGCAGTCACCTATCAGGAGCTTTTAACCAGTGGTGTTCCTGGAAGCGATCCAATTTTCACTCCTGCTGTTCAGCTCAAAGCAGCAGGACTGGGGTTTTCTCTCTGCATTTACTGCATTCAGGCCTGCATCCTAATCCCACCTGGGTCCAGCATACAAGCACAGGAGAAAAGCCCACTAAAAATATACAGTGTCCTCCAGGACATAATATACCATTCAGCTTTTAGAAATTTTACAATGCGGAGCCAGCTATTAACTATAGAGAGCTGGTGTAGACCCCGCAATTCTTAAGCATTCAAGAGCAGGCTGTGGAATCATGCATTCCCTGAACCTACCCCTTTCTTCCTGGACACTGAAAACACCTATATATTTCTTAACAGGCCATATAATGTCACTCGGAATTTGCAGTGTATAACGCTTTTGCCACATACTTTTGATTCAACAGATGTCCTACAGTTTTTCCTATTGCACTTTATTGCCGACTGCACCGTGGTCCCCAAGTGCAGACGAGATACACGAAACAGCTACAGGTGGATGACAAGTGCTAAATTGGTAAAATACCAATGATAATAATGGCTTTTGCTGGTGGGACGAGTGTGATAAAAGTTGACAGGGTGCAAAGCTGCTAGTCCCTGGTGTCCCACATGATTATATGCTTAATCTAAAGGCCAGAAGATAAATGACACAAGCAAGATTTAAAAGTCTGCAAAGAGGATGTGAACCCCATGGCTATTTCTTTTAGTTTGGCATAACTCTTCCATGACTTACCCGGGAAAAATCAGGCATACTGTATACAATTTCTGCTGAATCTCGGGAACGGGGAGATTGTTCATAACTTTCCAAGGCCTACTAGCAGTATTATTTATTATTATACTATTTATTGTTATGCAACTTGTATGCCACTTTTCAAAATTACGGTGCTCCCGAAAGCAACTCATAATGAAGATAATGAGGACAAACTCTGACAAATCTTCTGAAGAAGAAGGCCTTAGATAAAAAAAAAAGAGGATATTTGTGGAATCAAAATGAAGAGTTGCATTCCTGCTGAAATGCTGAAAGGGGCTTTATTGACAAGGGGGTGGGGGATGCGGGAACTTGGCCTGAGCATCATATCAAGGTCTTTTGGAGAACAGACTCCAATATGGTTTTGCAATAGGAAATATGGGAACAGCACAGTTAAACCTGTCACTATCAATATATCTAAACATATGTCACACGCAGCTTGACGGGAAAACCAACTGAATCAGAAAATTGCTATTCTTAATAAATGAAAGTTGTATCTGCTCTGGGAGAAGTACCGTGATAAACTCCATGTAAACAGATACTCAGGGCTAAGAGGCAGGATAAAATGGAAGATTTTTGAGGGGGGAAACTACCATAAGTGGAAACAAACTCTAGCACTGTAATGGCAATAACAGAGAAAAAGAAAACATTGTTCCTGGATTTTTGCAACGTGGCTTGGAGCTGATTATTATTATTATTATTATTATTATTATTATTATTATTTCCTGGTTACCCACATTTTTCCTATGTTAAAAGGTAAAGGTAAAGGGACCCCTGACCATTAGGTCCAGTCGTGATCGGCTCTGGGGTTGCGGCGCTCATCTCGCTTTATTGGCCGAGGGAGCCGGCGTACAGCTTCTGGGTCATGTGGCCAGCATGACTAAGCCGCTTCTGGCGAACCAGAGCCGTGCACGGAAACGCCGTTTACCTTCCCGCAGGAGTGGTACCTATTTATCTACTTGCACTTTGACGTGCTTTCGAACTGCTAGGTTGGCAGGAGCTGGGACCGAGCAATGGGAGCTCACCCCTTTGTGGGGATTCGAACCGCCGACCTTCTGATCAGCATGTCCTAGGCTTGTGGTTTAACCCACAGCACCACCCGCGTCCCTACCTTTTCTAATACTGTGTTGTAATTGTTGTACTCCACCTAGACCATTCAAGTATTGTGCTTCACAAGCATACCAATCGCTCTACAGTAGACTTCTCTAAGGGACGCGGATGGGTTGATTTAAATATTGAGGTACATCATTTGACAGCGCTGTGAGAGGTACTGAGAAGTATTGCATTAAGGTGGATGCCAGGTGAGATGAAAACTCTGTCATGAGGTAACTCCAAGTTCCAATGGTGTTTTTACACATGTAAGCCATCACTTGATGCTACAGTTATCAAGTGATGAGCCAACAACATGTACACACACCCAAAGTAGGCCAACAGTTTCTTAGAAATTTTCAACTTTGATCTGAAGTCTTGGGTTGTGCAGAAGTGTTTCATAGCACATGCTGCAGGTATGAGTGATGCTATCAAGTGCCATCAAGTGAAGAATTTAAAATCTATTGTGTAACCTGACTGCTTCCTCAATCAGTTGGTTAGCCAAAGGTGTTGGTTATTCTACAGTTCTAATGACCACAAAATGCTGGTGGCTACTAGCTATGACACACTCTGTATGCATGAGCAGGAGCAAGAGAGAGACAATTAAGAACTGCAATGCAGGAGGAGATACAGAAAACCTAATGTGCGGCTGGGGTGTAAAGGTGGTGAGAGGTCTGCTTTTCACTGTGATGTGAGAAATTGATGCTATTTCCACCTGGCCTTTGGTTTGGACTCAGTCTGACCCTTATGTTTCCCTCCCCTTATGGTTTTGATCTATGGGCTACTTTTAAAATGAGGCTGCATTTTAAATTGCATTTTAACCTGTATTTTAAATTGGGGTTTTTTTTCCTATTATGTTTTTACTTTAATTTTACTGGGGTTAGCCATCCTGAGCCTGGCTCTGGCTGGGAAGGGCGGGGTATAAATAAAATAATAATAATAATAATAATAATAATTATTATTATTATTATTATTATTATTATTATTATTTTACAGATTAGAACTGTGGAGATTCCTGTTCCATGCTCAATGGGCATTATTTCTGCTAATGCTCCGAGTTCTCCTGTTTTGATATGGGGATATTTTATGTTGGATTTTTATTTTGTCTGTCTGTTCTCTATATAATCCAATAAAATCATACAAAAATGAGAATAAGAAAAACCTGTGCAAATAAAAAGCATGTCCTCAAGTCACCAGTGCTTTCCCTTCACAAGAAAACGGATCCCCAGGGAAGTAAAGATTTCTGGGCTGTTTGTTTTTGTTTTTAAGTGTCTTACTTCTGCAACTTTCGCTGGCTCAATATTTCCTTCGTAAGGGCATCCCAACGCACAAGACACATACCTAAATGAAAAAAGAATACAGACGCATTGGTAATATGCACACATTGGTGCCCCACGAGAAACATTGTTCAAATACTAGGATGAACAATTAAGCCAGGAAGAAATCGGGTCCTCCCTTACTTAAAGAGGGCATGTGTTGCAGTGAGACCTGGCAACCAAACCCTGTGTTGTGGGTGGGTGGGGATGACTGGATAGCCACAACACCCAATTGGTAGGTCCCTTGATGCAGGGTTTAAACAGGCCAATGGGACGCAGGCTAAGTGGATAAGGGACCTATATATACCTATGCATGTGACCCAGAGCTTCCTCTTTCAGTGCGTGCATCGGAACACCTGCCCACCTCTCCCTACTTTTAGGGCTTTGCGCTTGACCTTGCTATGCCGTCGTGTGTCGTCTGGGACGGGGGCACGGCAGGAATTTTCCCCACTTGGCTGATTGGCTGTTGCCATTTGGGTTTCACCTGCCACGTAGCAAATCGTCAGAACTTGTAAGGTTGCGGATAGGCTCTGGTTCAGGTGATAGGGATGGAAGAACGCTTTCGCCATCCCTATGTGAAGGGTATTCCGTTAAAGGAATCCAGGGACTCAATGGTTTGGTCAACCCTGTGAGGGGGTTGTGCCCTTGCCTGAATCCAGGGAGACATCTGGGTGATGGACATAGCCTGTTCCCAGCTTTCCACCTATCCCAGTGTTCACCCTAGGCTGACCTATGCTTGTGTCCTGGGTCAGCGCTACCTGCAACGGTGTAAGGAGCTAGTCAAACCAGAGCCTATGCAACCACTCACGTGCTGTAATCAATAAAGTTGTGGCCTAAATTCTGCCAAAAACCAAACCAAAATTTGAGTCTTGTCTGAATTTATTTAAGGGAAAGGTTTAAAGGTCTGAACACGCAATAGGAGAATCCTTTAAAAAAACAAGTTTTAACTGAGCATTCTAGCACAAGAATATTGGGCACAATCAAGAACATGATAATTTCGACCAAGTTACAAGCAGTAAACTTTAGACATTAAAACCTTTTTCACACCAAGGGCCACATTGTCCTACTGAGAAGCTGCTGGGGGCCACACTCCAGCAGTGAGCATTGGAAAGATTCTCACACATGGACATTCCCAGCTATCTCCCATGGAAACAGAGGCACATATTAATTCTTAGTAACTCCACCCCAAGTTTCACTTTCCATTTTCTCCATAGACTTCTCCATTGCAGGGTTCAAAACCACATTGATAGTCTGCATGACTAGAGGAGATTCCCTGCTTCAGACCGTTACCTGCAAATTTACAGAAGGCTGTAAACTGGCCAAAGGTGATGTGTCAGCAAGGGAAGGTTTCACTGCATGCAAGTAAATTAATCGCCCAAAATGGGCTAATAAGTGTCTCTTCACAACTGCGCCTCTTACTGCAATTGTGAGCCTCTTAAACATACGTCCCTCCTGTTATGTACTGAAATTCTCACCCTGGGCCACCAGGGGGATACTGTAGATAGTTTTCACTCAGGTCCACATATGCAAATAAGGGATTGAAAGTGACGTTCAGTGACTGGATAGTTACAGAAAGCGGTTACTGTTGCGTTGTAGTGGAGCTCTATATAAGCAGGCTGGCTGAACCCTTCAGTTCAGTTCTGTTCTGGCCTGTGAATAAACAAGAGCTGTTTGAAGAATCGCTGTGTCGTCTGATATGTTCACCCACAACTTAACACCTCCTATATTTGCTGCTGACTTTTCCTCACTTAAATTAGCTCGGTACTGGTCAGATCTGTAACTATTAACGTTGTTGGGGGCTTTGTGTTTTTTTATAAAAATGTAGAATAGGGATTAGATCCAGACTTGCGCTTCCATTTAAAGCACTCTTGTATCACTCTAACGATCATGGAGAATCCTGGGATTTCTAGTTTCTTTTTAGGAATGCTGGGAACTGTAGGCCTGCAAAGACAGTACCCTAAACAAATTACAGTTCATATGAACAGCTATGACTTTTAAGTGGCATAAAGAGCGTTTTAAATGTATGACTTGGATGTGACCTCATAGAGGCTGCTGCTGAAGGCGGGAATTCCCCACCCCACACACTGATTCTCCCATCCCCTCGCAGACCCAGCATCACCACCCCCAAGTTGTTCTGGAAGGTTCCGCAACTCACCAAACCAACTTTTTAAGGCAAATGGGGAAGCAGCAGGAAAAGTACCCAGTTTGGGCCTTTCTTTTCGTTTAACAAAAATACTACTTAAAAACAAACACTGAAAACAAGTTACATGAAAAAATATAAAAAGAATTCAGCCATTTTAAAAAAGACTTATCCTTGCAAAATTAAAATGTTTTTCACAGGTGCCAAAAGCAATACAGCGAAGGCACTATATTCCTCATATGAATGATGAGGAAGGAATTTGTAAGCGTGGTGTCATCATAATGTAGGACTGTTAAGACGTATCAGTTATTCGCCTCCCCACTTCCCCCATTCCCTCCTAGCCATTGAACAGTTATATCTTGAGTCTGCAAGGCCAAGCCAAAATATTTTGTCACTTTAGAATCATAGAATTGTAGAGTTGGAAAGGATCCCAAGTTTACAAGAATGGAAGGCAACAATCAGAACAGCCTTCCCCCACATGGGAAATCACCCCCACATTGAAAACTTATTTTTGGATCTCACAGAAAGTCCTGACATGTGTTATAATGCACCAACAGTATTCTTTTCTCGACTACAGTAGAAATGCAGGGCATAATGAAGAGCTAACTTACAAACGATCTTGGACAACATCTTGCTAGCATCTGTATTAACTGTGTCCATTTTGCCTTCCGTAAAAAGGATGAGATGAAACTAGATAAAACTCCCTTTGATAATACAAGCAAGGCCTTTCCTCCTTCCTCCAGTATCAAAGTGCGCGTCGGCTAAATTTGTGCATTAATTGGCAAATGTAAAGGTCTTCAGCATTTTAAAGGATGATCTCAGATGCCCTGAAGGGAAGGGAAATGAAGCTGTTGCTAGTCTTCTTCATTCGGAAACAACTGGGACAGAAAATGATGCTTTTATTGTGATGTGGGACTTGGAAGGAGAACTTGTACGGAGGATGCATGCAGCTGAGGGTAGCTGTACAATTTATCACCATCAGCATTCGGCAAAAGCGCAATCAATCCAAGCAGAAACTCAGCTCTGCACAGGAGCCAGCCTCTTGTAGGAATCTGTCGGAGATGGTTACAAAACCATACACACACACACACACACAGAGAGAGAGAGAGAGAGAGAGAGCTGCTAGCACAGCTGAATGCAAAGAGCCCTCTGAGACTCTTGCCATAGACACAGATGCTGCCTGCTTCCTGTTTATTATTACATTGCATGTTTGCATGTAATTTACACTGTTCATTGCAGGGTGATTCAATTGCATTGGAAGTTCATGTCAGAAGAACAGGGGATCTATCCCCAAAGCAAATTCTTAAATATAGCAGTTGACGTATCCACGGAGGAAGCCATATTTTAAAAAGCAGCCAAATGGTTGCTAAAAATGATGAGAATTGGGAAGAGAGAAATGTGACTTGTAAAGGGCTAGAATACTCAGGCAAACTCTCCTAATCAAAGTCAAAATCAAGGACTTTGGATTGCCAAGAGTCCGTTTCAAATCTGTTCTTTGCACATAGTACTCAGCACATAAAGGTAAAGGTAAAGGGACCCCTGACCATTAGGTCCAGTCGTGGCCGACTCTGGGGTTGTGGCACTCATCTTGCTTTATTGGCCGAGGGAGCCGGTGTACAGCTTCCGGGTCATGTGGCCAGCATGACTAAGCCGCTTCTGGTGAACCACAGCAGTGCACGGAAACGCCGTTTACCTTCCCGCCGGAGCAGTACCTATTTATCTACTTGCACTTTGACATGCTTTCGAACTGCTAGGTTGGCAGGAGCAGAGACTGAGCAACAGGAGCTCACCCCGTCACGGGGATTCGAACCGCCAACCTTCTGATCGGCAAGTCCTAGGCTCTGTGGTTTAACCCACAGCACCACCCACGTCCCTAATCAGCTCATAGATTACCATTATTAATAATGAAATAAGAAGAACATAAAAACACAAGAAAAGCTTGCTGTATTGGGCCAATTGTCCACCTAGTCCAGCATCCTATTATCACAATTGACAATAAGATGCTGTTTTTTTGTTTCTAATGTCTTATGATGGGTTACATTTTGCTTTTATTGTTATGTTAACATTATTATTATTGTGCACCATCCTGAAATCTATCTAGATGAATAAGTGGTTAAGAATTTTTTTAAAAAAATAAGCCTGCCTACTGCTTTTTTGCTCTACCTCTTCAATCAGCGGCAACAAATGTGAGATATTACTGACTTCAACAAAATATTTAAAGAGGCTCTTAAATCCTTTGGATTTCATTGGCCTTCAAGCATTGGTGAATGTGTGCTGGATTGTAGCCATTATGAGTAACCATTTATTTGACCCAAAAATACCTAACAGTTGCTAAAGAGATGCAAATAACTTTGGTTTCCTTTAGGCAGACTTGATGTTACATATTTTCATTGGATTCCATTCCATTTCATGCCACAGTGAATTCTAGAAATTCAGGGAGCGTGAATTGAATGTTACTGTAAGTAAATGAAGTAAAATCATTGGTGTGAACCGCAGGTGGATCAATTCTTGTTAACATCCACACCATCCATTTAAAGGACATTTAAAAGTCATCGCTCACCCCCAAAAAGAATCCTGGGAACTGTAGTGTACCCCTGTCAGAGCTACAATTCCCAGCACCCTAAGACAGCTTCATTCTCCATGATTCTTTGGGAGAAGCCATGTGCCTTAAATGTATTTTAAATGACCAATGTATGATGTGGATGTGAATCTTGACCTAAGGTGGGTTACACTAATGGCAACACAGTTTTCTTTTTACTTTAGGGTTTTGTTTTGTTTTGTTTTGTTTTGTTTGTCAGAAAGAAGAAATGTGGGGAAGACAAAAGAAAATGAAGAATGGCAGAGATAGAAGAAAGTACCATAGAAATTAAAACTACACCCCAAGTTACAAGCAGGGCTGCTAGCTGTGGGCCTGAGTCACATGGTCTTGGCCCTGGGTCACATGGTCAACTTAAAGAGAGTTTGGAATAGGTATGTATCTCTTCTTGCCTCTCCATGCCACATCGCTTTTGAGGACTTATGCTGCTGGTATAGGTTTCACTGGCATAGGTTTCAATGGCAGAGCTATCTCCAGCTATGTTGGGATTAAGGGGCTTCCCCCAACTGAGCTGGGAAGCCTCAAGATCTTCCAAATCCAAATCCTAGAGGATTGCACTCTTAATAACTCAACAAGAAAATCTCATGTTCCAGTGAGCACGGGGCTTCCTTGTTCATTCCAAGATAGATAAATAGCAATTAAAAATATCAAGCAGATTTCTTAAATCTTCAGCTACAGTTACGTATCTGTTTTTAACAACAAGAGCCAGCTGGTTTTAAAAGACATCGGAATTTGCATTACAAAGCAGCGTTTCAAAGTCAATGTAAGTATAAAAGACTCTTAAAACTGAATCTTGGCCCAGTCATCTCAAACAGGGAAGGGGGACATGCAGGAGTCCAGATTTTGTTGGACTAAAAGTCCCATAATCCCTGGCCATTGACACCCCTCCCCAAGTGTTTTTGCCTGGCTGCACTCTGAGTTTGTTGTTTGCTTGGGTGGAGGATTCAGAGAGGCTATGAGGGTGTGTTGAAACTAGCCTACTACACAAAAGTAAAGTTTACATTTGTTGCTTCACCCAATTTTGCCTCTGGCTTCAGCCACTGCTGGAATGCAGTCCTCAGATGATGATGATGACGATTTATTGCAGGCTTTCTACTGGACGGTTGGATCAGAAACCAGCAACTCGTCATAGGCATCCCAGAAGTATCATCCTTTATCTGGCCGGGATAACCTGAGCTCTGAAATATGCTCCATTCTCATATTATGAGCATCTTATCTAGAAAAACTCTTCCAGCCTTTGTTCTAAAGCAGGTCAGCTTCAGTAGGGAATAACCAGCTCTAAGGCATCTGTCCCCAAACAGCTTTTCAGTGCTCTACTCTAAACAGACAGGAAGTGAATCTCATGAACCCGAAGGAGTGGGGTGGGAACCATCAAGGAGCTATGGAAAGCATCCTAGCAATCAGTAAATGTATTTACAAAAACCAGAAATTGTGCTTTACAATTCTTAAGCCATTTCCCCTTCATCATGCTGCGAGTGAAACAGATTAGACAGAGAGATGCAGTTACTTGCCAAGACCACCCAGGGAGTTTCCTGGCTAAGCAGGCAATTGAATTTACCAAACTATAACATTTTATCCACCTGCACCGTCCCGGCCCCTGCCTAACTGCAATATATTTACTTAACCTTTTCTCTATTTATTACATTCACATTTCCTAATAATAATAATAATACTCATAAGCGACTGACTCCAATAACATGCAGTCTTCTACGGGGAATGACCCTGGTTGGTATTTAATGAATCCAACAGTATACTTGGGTTTTTGTGCACATTCTGAATTACACCTCTGAACAGCAATATCTCAAACAGAGAGACTTAAATGCAATTTAATGTGTAAAATAGGAGCAACTACACTCATCAGATTCTTCTAACAGCATCTATTGTCATCTAATAGATGCTATTAGAAGAATCTGATGGAATGTTCCCAAATGTTAATAACGTAGAGAACAGCCCCTCTGAATCACAGCTCACAATAGCCAATTAGTGTCTTTTTATGAAGTTCATTCATAGAACATTCATATAATTCTCGAGTTGGAAAGGATCCTATGGGTCATTTAGCCCAACCCTCTGCAATGCAGGAATATGAAGTTGTCCCATGCAGGGATCGAATCTGCAACCTTGGTGTTATTAGCACCACACTCTAACCAACTGAGCTATCAGAAGCAGGGCATGAAGGCAACAGCCATCTCCTGCTGGTGCACCTCCTGGGCAATGGGTATAACCATGGAGGCATAATGCCTTTGAATGTAGAGGCTCCATATAACAATGGCAAACAATAGCTGTTGATAGATCTATTTTCTATGATTTTCCTAAAACACATTTTAAGGGAAGAAACCAGCTGCTGTTCCTCCAGATGATTCCAATTGCCATCAGCCGCAGCCGGCAGAATCAATGGCCAAGGATAATGTCGAGGAGGATTGGAAGAAATTTAAGAACTATCTACAAAAATATTGTGACTTGAGTGAATGCTAAATAAGATGCTAGATTAAATAACTGAGCACCACTTAACCTAGAAGTTTTTAAGAAAACAAGTAAGACTGTGAAAGTTTAACTCTTTATGAGAAATATAAGATTATGAAACATTGAAGAGATATAAGAATTTAAATAAGATGATAAATTGCTGACAAAATGTTATAACGATGAAAGTGGGAGCGGGGGATGTGAGGAAGTCCAAAGAAAATGTGAAACTATGTTAAGACAAATGTTATATTGTTTATTATGTTTATTTTTTATTGTAAAACCCAATAAATTGCTTTAAAAAAAAAAAAAAATGGCCAAGGATAATGGGAGTTGTAGACCAGACATCTACACCAGAAATTTATAGCACTATCATGTCACTTTAACAGTCATGGCATCCCCCAAAGAATCCTGGGAATTGTAGTTTGTTGTTTGGAGTTTGTTGTTTGGAGACCCCCCACCGAGCTACAGTTCCCCAAGATTCTTTGTAAAAGTGACTGTAAAAGTGATATAAGAGTGCTTTAACTGGATGTGACTGTAGTCTCAACAACATCTTGAGGACCACAGTTTCCTCGTTCCTGTTTCTAAGCTATCTAAGCTATTGGTCACCACAATTTCTTGCTGCAGTGAATACTGTCCATTAAATCTGCACTACAGGTCCAGGTATTGTGCTCCCCAGTCCCCAACGCCACAGAGAATTAAAATAACATGGAGACAGGTTTGGGGATCGAAACAGGCCACAACTTTCTTGGATACAGATGAAAGAGGTTTGGCTTGGGCATGGGGCAATCAAAACACTACCGGCCTGCCTGCCGGAAGTGACACATAGGTCAATCTGGGCGGGGGGTTCCTAAGACTTACATCAAATAGGGTGATGCCTGCAGGGACCACCGTCTGGGGGAGTGTCATTGGCCCTGGTTCCCAGCTGGGCATGAGGACATGGCAACACCCCCCCGCACCCCTTTAACGGGATACCCCAACACTTGGAGGGCCAGGCAGAGACTACAACCTCCCCTCCATCCAAGACAAGGATTGCCACAATGCCCAACCAGTTGTGACAACTGCTATGAGGTAGGCAAAACCACCAGGACAGGACGCCGATGTCGCGATTCCCTCACCAGGGCCTTGGGGGAGTGCCTGTTCTACTTCTTGAATCTACTTCTAATCAACTTCATTGGATGTGTCCCTGTAAAATCATGGAGTCTGTATACATAAAAATTTATTCGTGGAATTAATAGAATTAAGGTATTAGTGAAGGTATTTGATAATTACTTCATTAGAAAACTAATCAGTAAAAGTACTAAGGGAACATACCGGCTTGCTTCCTTTCTTTTTAAAATGAGCCCTTGAATTCTTCCAGTAAATACTTAAATATTTTAGTGCGACAGCGGGCAACATAGAGCGCTTTCTGTGATGATTTAGTAAATGCTGCTCCAGCTGTAGCAACACAACAACAGAGTGAAGCTTAAGTTCTCAGCGAAGTTTTCAAGTACATTTTCCATTAATTTCACCCACTGCCATTGATTTACGCTTACTACATACACATCAGGTTGCCAGTGAAAACAGAAAACCAAAACTGAAACCTTTAAAATTATTTCTGAAAGTAGCTCTTTTTTTCTTTTTCTTTTTTGCGTTGCTCCCAATGGGCCGTTACGTGGCAAATGGGAACGCCACCGGGCATTTCTTATGACAGCAGCGGCAAAGCTTTTTCCCTTTCATGTTGCTGCGGAACACAAATTAAAAGGACGAAGGCCTCTGCCCTCATTCCCTTTCCCTTCACTTATTCCACCTATTGGCAACAGCTTACGAACACAATAAAGAGGGGGTGACAATAGCCCTCACCCCCTTCCTCTTCCACATCTGAAACAATTTCCCAAAAAATACTGTTGGGGCAACAAAGCTTGGGCATTTCATAGAATCATAGAATTGTAGAGTTGGAGGGGACCCCGAGGGTCATCTAGTACAACCCCCTGCAATGCAGGAATCTCAGCTAAAGTATCCAAGGTCCATGACCTTCTGAGGGAGTCAGTTCCACTGTCGGACAGCTCTTACTGCCAGAAAACTCTTCCTGATATTTAGTCGGAATCTCCTTTCTTGTAACTTGAATTTGTTGCATAGAGAGGTTGGGTGGCAAAGTGAAATAACTGGAGCTACAGTCCTAAACACACACTTTTTGAGGCTATGGAAGTGAACCCCGGAACGACAGTGTGGTGGGGCTGTGCCACGGAAGAACACACACCCCACAGCAGCAGCACTACAGGGGCTTATCTGGCTGGGCCCCAACCTTGGTTATAAGTCTCCAAGGCCAAAATTTGACAGAGAGAGAGAGCCCTCCTACCTCTTTCCCAAAGCTGGGCAAGTGCCAACTAGGCTTTGGGAAGGAGCGTTGAGGACTCTAGGACCCAGTCAGAGCCCTCAAGGCTCCTTCTCTAAGCCCAGCGCTTACTAGGCTTACTTGGGAATGAGGGGGAAAGGCAAAAGCGCCCCTTCAGCTCAGGTGAACCGGACCTAAATCTGCCTCTGATCTGGATGGTGTGACTACAGGTGGCGAGATCAGGGCTGTGCAGGCATACCAGCAAAGCCCATTTGGCTCTACCAGCTGTGTGCCAGTCCAGCTGTGGCCTAGCCACCCCCCAGGCCACTCCTGAATTGAACACAGCAAGCGAGTCCTTCCTCTGTTCCCCCCATCATACGCGCCACAGTCCATTTCTGTTTCTAAAAAAAAACTTCTCAACATCATGAACTTATAGGCAGCTTTCACAAATTTGCTAGCTTGGTTAAACTAGCTAGCTAGCTTTTTCATTTTACCCTCGCACTGGAATGTCCATCTTCCTGGCAGACTTCACGACATCTTCAAATCTTTCCATGCTTTCGTTAATGCTGCAGTTAATATTCATTTTGCTGAAAGACTCAGAAGCTGCACCAAAGACGGACACTTCTGTTGCACCGGCAGCAATCTAAAAATCAAACAGGACCAAAAAACAGAACAAATGTGGTTGGGCTTTGTTTATTCCCCCTTCCCCAGTAAATAACTTTACATCTTTCTTTCTTTGTGCATGCTATGTTTAGCAGTAAGCCTACTATCTGAAGCATTAGCTAACAAAGGTTGGTCCAGAAGAAATCATTCCCATTGATTTAAATGGAAAATGACTTCAACTGGTGTCACACCATACTTGTTTGTTTACTTCAAAGCAAGTCCCACTGTGTTGCATGGGATTTACTCTCCTGGAAACGTGCATTTGCACTGCGGCTGTAATAAACTAAACTCATTGCCTCTGTTGGTTCATGACGCTATTATCCTAATGATCACTCCAGGAAGCAACAATGATTTTGCTTTACAGAAAGCCTCTTTCTCCACATGTTTAAAATGAGTTACGAAAGCACAAGTGAGGCACCGGCCCTAAAATTATCTAAATGTCCTTTCGAGCAAACCTGTGTCATTGAAATAAATGGGAGTCCTCTAGATGATGAGTTTCCCACATGGAAGCAAGTGAAGGTTTTGAGGCAGAAGGCCATGCACTTTGCACAGTCACTACGGGGCTCACAGAAAAGCCTTAACTGTTTATGTGAATTAAATCTCTTTTCTCCTCTAAAGCTAGGGTTGCCGTATTTCAAAAAGTGAAAATCTGGACACAAAAGTTGTTGAGCTTTTCTAGTTTTGCTAATGAAAATTGCCAAAATCTACACTACCGGCAGGGGCTGCCATATATCCAGAATACCAGCTATGTCTGGATGTATGGCAACCCTACTAAAGCAGAATTCTAGAAATAAGACGGTCCTGTTTTTTGTAAACACTCCTACCTGTGCCTAGATCACAGAAAGCTGTCAAATGCAGGTGGAAAGCAAAGATGAGGTGTAACAGATTGTTTTTTGGCATTTCATTTTTAAGAAGACACCAGAAACCATAATGTCAACTTAGAAAATGTGTAGTTGACATCATTCCCTCTATTACCAATTCAAGTCTTCCCACACCAGGGGTGGGCGATTCTGTCGATTTCATTTTATCTCAGTTTCTCATTTGACCAGTCTCCAAATAAGTTCCACATTTCCACATCAGTTTCCATGTTGTCCTCATTAGAATTTGTCAGCATTTTATTGTGCATTTCTCCTGATTTACACATTTTTGTATGCAATTTTGCCCAATATATGTAATTTTATAAGCCATTCCCTCTAATAGAGGCATCGGCAAACTCGGCCCTCCAGATGTTTTGAGACTACAATTCCCATCATCCCTGACCACTGGTCCTGTTAGCTAGGGATGATGGGAGTTGTAGGCCAAAAACATCTGGAGAACCGAGTTTGCCTATGCCTGCTCCAATACAATGCATTTATGCATATATATTTTTTACTAATATATGCACACGTCCCCTCTATTTTATGCATTCTTAAACAATTCTTCAGTTGCAGAACTGCACCTCAAAATTCAGGGAAGTGCAAACTTTGACAAGCAGCTGTTTCAGCTCACATGTTGTTGTAAGAAGAGCGAATTAGAAAGATTAGTATTTGAATGCAAACTGAAACTAATTTCTTCCTCACCTTTTGTTTCAGGATCACACAGATATACACATGGGCACAACATCCACAAATAGGATTGAAGAAACCCTGAAGAGCTACAAATCTGTTTTTAGGAAAGGGACTCCAAAAACAGCCCAATGAGGGCTGAATGTGTTCAGAGACCATGCATTGCTGGTAGCAAAGAAATGGAAAGGGATGTGTGCAATTGAGTTGCTGGAATCCTGAACAGCAGCACTCAACACAGCCACATTTTGTTGCAGACCCCCCTTGTTATCCAGCAAAAGTTCTTGTTATGTACTGAGTTGAAGTTGTTCATGTGAAATTTAGCATAGATTTCTGATTATTTATTTCTCTTTGTTTGTTTCTTCAATTTGTATACTGCCCTTCATTTGAAGATCATAGGGCAGTCCACAACATAAAAATGCAAAATGAGAACACAAAATATATAATAAACCAAGAAGAAAAGCAAACCAATAACCCCCCACTCCCACAAACACTTTTTAAAGGGCACAGAATGTTCAATCAGGTTGAAGGCCTGTTACAGAGAAAAGTTTTTGCCTGGCACCTAAATGAAGGCACCAGGCGAGCTACCCTGGGGAGAGCATTCCACAAGCAGGGAGCCACCACAGAGAAGGCCTGCTCTAATGTTGGCAACCCTCCAGGCCTCTTGAAGCCTGATTTATGCCACGGATAGGGTTAGATCATGCAATCTTGACCTCTGATAAAAATAGCTAAATATGTTTAAGACCCTGGAGCTTCACTGAAAGATAAAGCCATGCAGTATACGTACAGCAGAATGGAAGCCTTGAAGATTAGGGGTAAGGACTGGATAACGGACTCCAGGATAGCATTCTATTCCTCTCATGACTTCTGTGTGATCAGCCATCTTAAAAGACAAAATGTAGCTTTAGTTTCTTAAAGTCATATGACAGTATCAGGTACTTATTCATTGGTTACTGACCAGGTAACTGAACCGGGGGGTTTTAAAAAAATGATGTAGAAACACAGGACTGAACACAATTAAATATCAATAAAGTAAAACTTTGTTCATTTCACAAGAAGTCACATAGAAGTGATCTTTGCACCAAAATGGACTGAACTTCCATGTCCAATTTTGCCCCTTCCCTTTATGCCAGCGGTTCTCAACCTGTGGGTCCGCAGGTGTTGTTGGACTACAACTCCCATCATCCTTGAGCTCTGGCCTTGCTAACTAGGGGTGATGGAAGTTGTAGTTCAACAACATCTGGGGACCCACAGGTTGAGAAAGGCTGCTTTATGCAAAGGACTGGATTGTTTGGATCTCTGGGTACCTATGTTTAGCATGAAAACAATAGCATTTTTTAATTTTTTAAAGAAGTTTTTTTAAAGGAATAAAATAGCTTATTTAATGGCCTCATCTCATCTTTTTTTGTGTGTATTTCAAAGCCATGGGCGAGGAAAGATTATGCATGCTAATTTTATTATTATTATTATTATTATTATTATTATTATTATTATATTTATTACTTCATTGTTAAGAGACTTTGGGCACTTCTACACAGCAGCGTATTGTGTGCTCAGATAAGCTGATCCCTTTGCAGTTTCGTCCTTGTAGGGAGGTGAATAAATGTGGCATTTTAAAAGGCTCATGACATCATCCTCATCAAAATGCCACCCCATATTATGTCCTATTTAATCTGGATTTACCATTTCTGTAGAAAACCCCAATTTTTAAATACACACACATACACCTGCCTCCCTCCTTCAGTGGAGCATCCCATGAGTAGATTTTCAATCATGGGGGTGGGTGGGTCCTGGATTCAACTCAATAACTGCTTTTACGTTGCGTAAAAACCTTCACATTTTATCCCTGTGGCACTAGGTGATTTCTCATTCCTGTTTTTTTCCCCTCTCCAGCCTACAGAACCCTTGTGATCTAATATTTCCAGGCTAAAACCCTATGTGCACTTATTTGAAAGCAGGGCTGCAAACACACTATAAAGCACATTCCGACCCTCCGAGAATTCTGGGCACTGTAGTTCATCCCTCACAGAGTTACAAGTCCCAGCAACCCTTAACAAACCACAATGCCCAGAATTCTTTGAGGGTGGTGGAGGGGAATGTGCTTAAAGTGTGTTTTGAAGGCATCTTATATACATAGCCTTAGTTGTACCGGATTCAACGGAGCTTGCTTCCGAGTAGCCGTGTATAGGATTGCACTGTTCCTGTTGTTTTAAATATTTCTAACGCTTTATAGGATTGGTATTATATTATTGCTACCTGGCAGGGTATCTACTTGCATTCTAAGAAAGCAGGACCGAAGTGGGGTAAGTAAATAATCACAGAAATGAACCCTGACTTCTGCTTCCCAAACCTTTAATCCCTTAATTAAACAAAGAATGTTGCCCACACTTCCTAGGCTAAGGAAACCAAATAAGGAAAACCTTTGAAACCATTAATGTAATGGTACACCAATGTGACAAAATCCTGCACTTTTTACAGCATACCGGTAACTGAAAATACAATTAACAGGCTAAAGTGAAGGTGCAATTTAAGCTCCATGAAACTTAATCATTGCAAATAAGGTTTATATAATGCATTTGTCCCCTCAATATTTTCCTTGTAAGCAGACTCTTACTTTAACATGTACTTTTAACATTTAGGCAATTAACTTTCAAAGTGCAACAGGATACTTAAGCAATAAGCCTTTCAATGGCAGCCCTTTATCATTCTTGGCGATTTCGACTATAGGTGTGGGATCCTGTTTTAGATGGCACCTTTGCTACTGCAGAACTCCTTTTTTTCCTACTTCTTCTGGCTTTTTCTAGTCAGAAGGTCTCTGCCAAACAAAACATTAGCAGGGAAATGGTAAAAGGGCTTTAAAATGCAAGGCAGACAGACAGAAAGGAGATGGAAACATAACTAGTCAATCTATTCTCAGGACCAGAGAAAATAAAGTGCGCTAAGAATTTTGAACTCCATCTCCAAGTTAACATGGCCATGGCATATAAACAGAATGTAATCTAAATATCAACTAAGCTATTCAAACAAAACACTCAGGCTTGAAATGGGAATAAAATCCCCTCTCCCAACATCCAAAAAAGCCCAGGCCAAATTTGCTACCCAAAAGGGCTCACAGGAAAAGGAAGAAATGAAAAACACATTTCCAAAAAATAAAAAATCAGGGGGGGGAATGAAAAGGGAGGTATATGGTTGCTTTAGATTGTAGATATTCCTTAAAGGAACAACCTTGTCCTCTGTTCTGATTCAGCTTTCCCTGACCTGGTGCCCTCCAGATGTTTGTGGACTCCAACACCCATCAGCCCCTGCCAGTGTAGCCAATGATCTGGAAAAGTGGGACCTGTAGTCAAAAAACAGCTGGAGGGCACCAGGTTGGGGAAAGATGGAGTACAACATGAGCTGGAGTAATTTATTCTAGCGTAGTGAGCTAGACAGAGTTTTTAGTGTGAGCTTCTAGGAAAATATGGGGAACATAAGATAGCAAGACAGTTCACCAGGTTTGGCAGATTTCCCTCCTTTGTGTGGGCCAAACTATACATTATGACAGAGATGCATGAATACAATGCCATACCCCTCAACTGTCCCGGGAAAACACCCCGTTTTGTCACGCAAGAGCATGGTGGTCATTTTGGGCACCACAATCTTGCCCCGAAAAAGTGCTTTGGCCGTGGTCTTGCATGGGTCACTCACCCAGGAGCATGGCCTGGAAAACGTGCATCCCGGTTTTTGACCTGTACATGTTGGAGGGCATGCAATCCTGCGCCCGCGCCCCCTTTCAAATAGTGAAGGGGTGGTGATGTTGATTGGGACCACTGCATGTGTGCTGCGGGGGTTGATTAACTCTTCCTGAAAACCAGGCATTGGCAAACTCGGCCCTCCAGATGTTTTGGGACTACAACTCCCATGATCCCTAGCAAACAGGACCAGTGGTCAGGGGTGATAGGAATTGTAGTCCCAAAACATCTGGAGGGCCAAGTCTGCCTATGCCTGCTGAAAACTGTTTTAAGCACTGCATACAACCAAGATTTCAAGCTAAGACCAGATTTTCTCCTGAACTGTTCTGAGTCATCATGCTTTATAGCTGGGGGGTCAAGGAGCTTGCCAGCCCCATGATCCCTCATTGCAAACGTCTGACAACGCTGCTTGGCCCCTCCTGCGCTGCCCAGAGCGGCCTGATCTGCTCTTCACCAGCTGTTCCTCCCGTTAGGCTTCCCAGTGATTGGTTTCATCCATTGTTTGCAGTTCAGGGTATTAGGCAATAAATCTTGAACTACTTGGATGGGAACCTCATGAAAGGAAACCAGTCGCTGAGAATGTCCTCCTTTGTGCAATCATGTTATAATTTCGCAACAGAGCCCTGTAGACACTGGTTTGGCTTAACGGGGTGGGTCTTTTTCTACAAGCGGCACTCTATCCATCTTCTGGCGGCAGAGGTTTAAATAAGCAGGTGAACAAGAATGATTCCAGATCCTGTTCTCCCTCCCTCAACCCCCTAAAATGCAAAAAAACCAAAACGTTTTGGATCAACTTAAACTCTCCAGGTCCTCCAACTTTCACCTGATATTTGCCGTTCTTGGCCTCCATTCTGAAAAGTGAGATTGAGTTCTAGAGCGCAGTCTGCAGCAGCAGCAGCAGCTGTCTCTTTTAAGGTGGCTTTCATCTCAGGCAGGAGGGCACTGAGATGAGTTCTTTTAATTTAAAATAGATTACCATGGCATCAGCTAAAATCACTAATATGCTTTCGGAGGTCTGCTTAGTTGCTGCGAAGTCTGGGGCTGGAGAAGAGCTCAAGGGGCAGGATCTGTCATATTCTCTGCTTTCAGTAGGACTTCCTTGGCCTTGTCGGCTGTAGCTTCCTGCATCTGAGGTCAGGAAGAAGTATCTTAGGTTTTTAGATGGGACAAAGTAACCACTTGCTTTACCGCCATCCCCACCTGCCCGCTTTCATGTTGTGCCTGGGTTTTGAAGATTATTCGGGCTTTTCATTAAAGCAGCAGTAGATAACTTCTATTCTGCAGGACTATTTAGGCCTGCTAGTCATCCCCATTTGGACTGTGGCATTGTTTGGACCAAAACAAGTTCTGTATTAAAGTTTTAAGAGTAGAGCAACTGACCTAACTGTATGCCAGGAAATGGAACTCATGGAACTCCCATATATTTTCCCCATTTTAGGAATATTTGGGAATGTAGAATATCCCTCATGGGAGCAACACACCAGAGACACCTTTGCAGTAATAAAAGTTCAAGCTCCATCAGTGTAGTGAAAAACTGGTGGTCTGCAAAGCCTTCATTATTAGAAAGACAGATGTAGGCATTTCCATCTGAAAGGCAAATTGCCCTGGTACCTTTACATACAAAATTTTAAAGTCTCTTTTTCTTCAAATTTGGCACAGTGAGGAAAGAGTTGGGATACAGGTGGAGCTTGCATTTTAGCTCTGCATTGACTGACGCAGCTGTCAAGCTGCGCCAATTAAGTAACTAAGACACCAAATTCAGGCCACAATCTTCACCAACAAACTACCTAAATTCAAACCCATTCTGGGATCCTAATATAGTTAACAGACACAGACCTACCTATCTCAAAGGCCATTCATTGCTTGGTAACTTTATGATAAAAATCAACATTTACTCTATAGATTAATCTCATGAGGAGTGAGGACAGGAAACTAACACAGAATCTCTCTGTGGCATGACACACACTACTAATACTAGGCTCTTCCCAGCAAAGTGCAACACCAGGAATATTTCTGTTTCACCCAATTAACATTATTGATACAGAAAGGGCTGCCAAGTCCCATTCAGTCCAGGAAATTGTCCGAAATAAATGAAGGCTTTTGGTATATTGAGGATCACTTTGGTCAATTACTTGCTATTATAAGCTTACTGAAGACAGATGGATTTGATATCCACAGTGGCTGATTGCTTTTGCACCTCCACTGAATGAACATTTAATTCTTATTCCAACTCATTGGGCCAGCTGATTTAAACCAGGCTCTGCTCCCTTGTTGCTACAATAGTAAAATGTCAGATTTGACATCAACTGAGCACTAGAGGCTCCACATAGAAATATGGAATGACAACAGTGGTGTCTTGCCAGCAGAAGACCCTGAGTTTAATGCCCATCAACTGCAGGTAGAGCTGGGAGACACTCCCATGTAGAATGCTAAAGGACCACTGCTGGTCAGCGTAAACAAGACTGAGCTTGATGTGTCATGTGACAAAGGTATTTGAGAGCGGAAGCAGTAAAGGAGTCTAGAAATGTTGTGAAATGCTGAAAAGCTGCAGAATCATTTAGCATGCTGAATCACTGTGACTCATCTTGAGGATGACTCATTCTCTGTATAAGTACAGTCAAACCTCGTTTTGTGGACGGGATCCATTCCGGAGGCCCGCCCACAAGCCGAAAATGACACACATTGAAGCGCGATTTAGCGCTACTGTGCGTGCGCAAGCAGCAAACCTGGAAGTAACCCGTTCTGGTACTTCTGGGTTTGCTGTGGATGTTCGCCGAAGTGGACGCAAGTGGAAGCAGATGCAGAATGAGGTTTGACTGTATCTGCTTGCAGGCAGACTCAGTCTGTGTGTCTGTGAGTGGTGGAGCCTGTGCTCTGTGAAGCTTGTGCTCAGTGGAGACTGTTGATGTGTAATGTGTGACTCAATAACTCCGTGTATGCTCTGAAGCTAGTTTAATCTTCTGTTCACCATGCTGTTATTTGCAAACAAGTTCATTTTAACTCAGTAAAGCTTTTATTCTTTTACCGAAGAAGAGTCTGTGTTATTAATTTACACTGCACGTAATGATGGACCAATTGAGCCAGTGTGGTGTAGCGGTTAAGAGCAGTGGACTCGTAATCTGGTGAACCGGGTTCGTGTCTCCGCTCCTCCACATGCAGCTGCTGGGTGACCTTGGGCTAGTCACACTTCTCTGAAGTCTCTCAGCCCCACTCACCTCACAGAGTGTTTGTTGTGGGGGAGGAAGGGAAAGGAGAATGTTAGCCACTTTGAGACTCCTTCGGGTAGTGATAAAGTGGGATATCAAATCCAAACTCTTCTTCTTCTTCTTCTTCTTCTTCTTCTTCTTCGGCATAAAGCAGCTGCTACGTTCCTCTGTCCTGAGTGCCAAGTGTGGACAAGGCAGGGCAAAGTCAGGTGGGAGGTGACTAGCAGGTATAAGGCATAAGGTGTAGGGGGGTGATGGTTCAGAAAGACATTCCTGCTATGGGAAACCTACATAGCATAAAAATGCTGGATCCTTCTGTACGATGCATTTTTCAATTTACCTACCTGAGGTACCCATTTCGAAGAAACAAAGCTCGTCACTTCTATGACAGGCAAGCCTGTTTTGGAAAGTCGGTTGATGAATTCAATTTTGACATCTGTAGGGACTATAGCCTGTGGGAAAGTAAGGGGGAGACCGGTATTGGTACAAAATGTAGCATGCGGCAAAAGCGTTTTGAACAACAATAACAGGTATTTTTAACGCTCTAAAATAAAAATGGCAGATACTGCAGACGGGTGCTATTTTTTTTCAGGCAAAAGCAAATTGGCACACCTACAAGGATATGAGTTTGACAGGGAGGTGGGGAGGTCAGGGCAATGTGAGCACACCAGCAGTGCCCCTGCCCCCAACTTTGTTCCCACGCTGCCCTCGCAACATCCAGGTACATGGTAACAATGAATGTGCTGGGAAGCCAAGTCTGTGGTGGCCCCTGCTGCCTGCCAGTGCTCCTGGCTACAGCTTCCCCCCGCCTGCTGTAGAAATGCTGTAGAAAGATATTAGAAGCCCTCCATAATCAATTAACTACACATGTGTTTGTGTGCGTTTGAAACCAAAGTTCATGCACACACTGAAGCACTTCAGTCATACGTATTTCAGAAGATCCATTTCATGCTTTAAACTTCCTGGCTTTCATGCGTAACTCAGCCCTTCAGCTCACATTGTCCACTTACCTTTTCATTCTGCAATCCATCTCTAGGCCCGACTTCTACTATTTTAACAAATTCGGGAAATCCACTTGTGAGCAGTTCCTGAAACAGAAAAGTGTGTAAATAAATAAAAGATAATTTGTGCTAGGGCTCCCACTCTGGGGCACTGCCCCAAAGAGTTTTGTTTCAAGTACTGAATTCGTTCCGGAGGTCCGTACTTAACCTGAAACTGTTCTTAACCTGAAGCACCACTTTAGCTAATGGGGCCTCCTGCTGCCGCTGCGCCACCGGAGCCCGATTTCTGTTCTTATCCTGAAGCAAAGTTCTTAACCTGAAGCACTATTTCTGGGTTAGCAGAGTCTGTAACCTGAAGCGTATGAAACCTGAGGCGTATGTAACCTGAGGTACTAGGGATGAGTCCAGGAGTGGGCAAGTTATAAAAAAGAAGAAAAATTCAGAATATGTGCAGAGTGCTTGTCAAACCACCAATAATAACCACAAGGTGTTCCCACAGTGTTAGGATTAAAGAGTAGATATTTGTCAGGAAACATGTGGGCCCAGTATAATTTCCCCACCACCACTACCACTTTGGGAAATTAAGAATAATTATTCCGTGATTACTCAGATAGATCATACCTCCTCCAAAAATAGTTTACACAGCCAAAACATATATTTGTGAACTTATTATTATTATTATTACTATCTAAAACCAACTGCTTTGCATGCAGAATGCCCCAGGTTCAATCCCTGGTATCTCCTGTTAGAGACCCCTATCTGAAACTTTGGAAAGATGCTGCCAGCCAATGTAGACAACAGTGAGCTAGATGGACCAATGGTCTACCTCTGCAAGGCAGCTTCTGTGTACCTAAGGCTTGGTGACTGGCAGCACCTGTGGCAAATCTGCTCCAGAGTTACCAGTCTAGAGGGGATGCTTGGCTATGACCATCTGTCTTGTTGGCAGGCTACTTTGAGAAGTGGGGTTTGGCCAGTGACACCCCACTATCATTCCTTTCTTTAAACATCCCTTCAGGAAAAACCCATTTTCAACCATGGCCTTAGACCAGAGGTTCAGAACTTGAAGTTCTTCAGATTATGTCCTATAGGCCCCAGCCAGCATTGTCAATGAAGGAAGTTGTAGTCCAGGGACATCTGGAGGATCACAGCTTGCCTTATATCAGAGTTTCCCAAACTTGGGTCTCCAGCTGTTTTTGGACTACAATTCCCACCATCTCTGACCACTGGTCCTGCTACCTTGGGATGATGGGAGTTGTAGTCCAAAAACAGCTGGAGACCAAAGTTTGGGAAACCCTGCCTTAGACAGAAGCCAATTGGGTGGGGGGGGAGAGAAACTAAAACTGTGATGGCCTGGGAATCTGATTCAGAGGCTGAACCTGAAGAATCCCAGCCTGCACAGGAGTCCCCGCCTCCAGGGCCAGCTGAGCCGGGGCAGGTCCTTGAATCTGAAGGGCCCGCACCTGTGCCAGATCCTCAGGAGCAGACACCAGATGAATCCACTCTGGCTCCGGAGGTGATTGAGGACCCATTGCCTGCAGGTGCTCCTCTCCCAGCCCTGTCAGGGGAAGGTGAGGTTGCCTCTGGGTCCAGTAACCCTCCCGCCTCTCCTGAGCTGCAGAGGCTCAGGGCAGAGAGGCGGAGGGAACTAAGTTCTCTCAGGAGGAGAGCTCACCTTAAGGCCAGGAGAGGCGAATCATCTGTGGGCCGGGATCACCCCTGGCCTCAGAGGAGATAAAGGCCAGTCAGCCCAGTCCCAGGTTGCGGGAGCAACATTGCTGGAAACCTGTTCCTGCCACCACCCTGACCTGCTCTTCTGGAGTTCCTGACCACGCCCGGCTCCTTGCCTTGGACTCCGCTTCACCCTTGACAGACAGCCTCCAGACCCTCGACCCAGGACCGGACTCAGACCACACCGCATGGTAACCCCCCCAGAACCAGCACAAAAACTTGGGAAATTCAGAAAGAAAACGAAGATGGGCATATGACAAGTAAAGATTTCAGATTTGACTAATAAGGCTATCCAAAGAATTCAAAAAGCCATAGGGTAGAATTAAGCTATTGTGAAGTAGTTACCACAAATAATCAAGCCTAGTTCGGTATGCAAAGCCAGTATGCTAAATTCAAACATGTCACAAATGAAGGGAGTTGTAGTTCAGCTTGTGGAGGACCACAGGTTCCCTTCCCTCTCCTCGACCAGAGCAACATGAGCAAGCAGACTGTAAAAGTTGCTGTAGCATGGTCAAACATAAGGTTCTTGCTTCAATATCTGAAGCTCTAGCCATTTAAAAGGTCTATGCCTTCATAACTATGACCTTCATTTCATTAAGTCCCAATTAACCATGGAAGTATCAATGAGGAGGGGAAGATTTGTGCAGACAGAAGACAAGACTTGCAGCACAGGTGTCTGAGTAGGAGTCAGGAACTGCTTTCTGTCGGAGAGGACACTGACAAGCGTTGGGAAATAACTGGGGAATATTAGTTAATCCTGAAGTCCCACGTGTGTGGGAAAGTACAAAAGAATAAACTGCTGACTGCCTGAAATTCAAAAGAGCCGGAAAACCCCCCAGCAGAGTTTAAAACAGAAATATGTGCAGAGTTTGCAAAGTGCTGAAAATATAGGTTGTTGGAGCTCAAAATGTCCCAGTATTAAGTGCTCTCAAATGTGCTCCCCCACCTCTACCCTTCTCTGAGTGAATAGTCCACAACCTTAAGTAAGTTTAAATGCTTTACTTACAATAATCAGAGCACTGTTCAACCCTACAGCAGAAACAACACAGGGAAGGTACTCCTGGTTATAAAATACATTAGTTGGTCTCAAACATGTGGTCTGAGTCTGGAGCCCCAGCCTCAGATGTCTGCTCAGTTACGTGGTTCAAAGTGAAGAGGGGGAGAGAGAAAGAGAGAAAGAGAGAAAGAGAGAGAGAGAGAGAAAGAAAGAAAGGAAGGAAGGAAGAAAGAAAGAAAGAAAGAAAGAAAGAAAGAAAGAAAGAAAGAAAGAAAGAAAGAAAGAAAGAAAGAAGCCTTACTTCCTACCTCCCCAAAAGTGAGGGAGCACGACCTAGCCATGCCTTCTTTAGCAATTCACAGCTCTATGATCCTTAACCCCCTTAATTTACTAAAAAGCATAGGCATGCACTGTTATGTTTGACTGCAAAATCTTCCACAAGTGGAACTCTCAAAATGCACACAACCAAATGCATCATTGTTTACCCAAGGCACATATTTTGACATGGCTCACACTGGGGGGCTGGGGGCAGGTGTCTTAAATTTTTGTCTCTAGAATCTGAAGGGGAAATGAGCCTCACAATGCTGTGCCTTTGGGTATATCTCTCGCATCCACCATCGTGGGTGTCACCTCCCTTGCCACAAACTGCTTTGCAAGTTAAATTAAATCCCATGTAGTAACATCCTTCAATGACTGCTAAAGTACAGTTTAAAAAAAAATCCAGTACAGTTACTATGCATTTATGTGAGCGGTGTAAAAAGAAATGGGAAACAGCTGCACAACATCTCTGATCACATACGGCATCTGGCAGGCTAAACCTTCCTTGGACCAAGCTAGGCCCACACTTGCAGAGAACATAAACCTATTTTATTTAAATATAAAGGCAAAACTTTCACATCTGCTAAATAACATCCCCCACCCCTTTCAGAAAGTGCTTTTTCTTATAAGTGGAAGCCCTCCTGACAAAAGGGCATTGCATTTTGAGGTTTTCCATGATTATCAGATAATTGCGCTTACAAGGCAAATGCCACATTCGTGATATAAACACATCTGTGAAAGAAGCAAGAGGATCTGAAGTGTGCTAAACGTATCATACTTTAAACAGGATGCGTTCAAAACGTGCATAAAGCTTTTATTGTCATAATAATTTTCAACCGTTATGAGCCAAATCTTGTCACATTGACTGGCACAGGCACACACCCGTAAACCTGCGTGTACAAGTGGAGTCAAAGGTCAGGAACATGTTATTGCATATTGTAGGGGGTCACCAATGTGATGCATTCCAGATGCTGCTAGACTACAACCTATAAATAAAAAATATATCCAATATTCTCTCATCCAATGGTTGTATCCAATGGTAGTCCTACCCAGAGTAGACCCACTGAGAAACAACACATGCTGTATATCTAATGGACATTTAAAGCACATGACTTTAAAGAATTGTGGGAACTGTAGTTTAATGGTGCTAAGAACTGGAGCCCTCTGAGAAGCAAATACAGTTCCCAGAATTCATTAGATGAATCCATGTGCTTTTAATGTGTGTTGGATATTCTTAAATGGAGTGGATCTGCAGTGAAATCAAAATGGTGGAGCCAGTGTGGTGTAGTGGTTAAGAGCGGTAGTCTCGTAATCTGGTGAACCGGGTTCGCGTCTCCACTTCTCCACATGCAGCTGCTGGGTGACCTTGGGCTAGTCACACTTCTCTGAAGTCTCTCAGCCCCACTCACCTCACAGAGTGTTTGTTGTGGGGGAGGAAGGGAAAGGAGAATGTTAGCCGCTTTGAGACTCCTTTGGGTAGTGATAAAGCGGGATATCAAATCCAAACTCTTTTTCTTCTTCTTCTAGTTCCATTAATTTAATGGGTCTACTCAAGTTCTAGATTGAAAACAACCTCAAATCTTGCTGTGCTGCCCCTGAACTTCTCACTGCTCAGGAAACTGGGGTGTAACAGACTAGTGCCTGTAGGATCAGAATAGCAGGAATTTCTTACACAATATTAAATAACCTCTGTTCCTTGAAAAGCTCAAAGCGGCACTCAAAATTTAAATACATAAACATCAAAATGTACAATTGGCAAAAGTAGAGAACAAACCTGAGGAAAAATCACTCCTGTCAACCAGAACTTAAATTTTAAAAATCGCATTTAAACTTAAGCCAGAATTTAAATATGAAAATTAAAAGCTAGAGGAAATTTCTTTTAAGAAAATGTCTTAATTTGGCAGTTAATGCTGCACAAAGCTGTTGTCTGATGGGCTGTCAATGTAACATTTCTTCCTAAATTTGATCCAGCAAAAATGCATGTCTGATGATTAAAGATAATGACTGGTTATTGAATTAGGTATTAGCTCTGTGAAGTGGTGAGCACTATGGCTAAATTATATCAACAAGGAAACAGTTTACATGAAAGCCTAAGAGCCTCAAGCATTTTCCATTTATCAGGTGTTGCCAAAGAAGAACAAACAGCTTGTAAAACCAGCCATTCCCACCCTCCCCCCAAAATAAAAAAAAGTACTGCCATGTAAATCGGAAAGTAAATTTCAGTTCCACACCCCTCTTCTGCTACCTCATTTGAGCAAAAGAGAAAAGCACTACCAGGGCCTGTGATCATGTTGTTTGCCAAATACTTCCATGAAAACATTCCCCTCCACACACACGCATGCTTAGTTATAAATTGATGAAAATAGAGGTTTATAACAGAAAAATGCCAGTGACCTTTAATCATGGAATTACAGCCTTCTTTAAACTTATCCCAACTGTAAGCGAATAAAGCAAACAAACTTGAGACACCCACATGCAGAAACAAACAAGCACATGCAGCTGCCTGCTAATCACTTCCTGGGATGTGAGATCTGGCATTCAAGGAAATCAACAGATGATCCACCTCATGGGGAAGGACCATCGCTCAAGGTACAGCAACTGCTTTGCATGCAGAAGGTCGCAGGTCCAATCCCTGGCATCTACAGGCAAGGCTGCCGGAAACCCTGGAGAACCATTGCCAATCCAAGTAGACAATACTGAACTAGATGGTCCAAATGCCTGACTTGGTGCAAGACGGCTGCTTCTGGTCCTATCATCCTTGCCCATCACGGCTTGTAAGGTCAAGGGGGTGGGTCAAGGAAGCGATTAATGCCTCATTGCAGGAGGGATAGTGCTGCCCCTTCCTTGGCCTCTGGGGTAAATGGCCAACTACTACCCTACCATGAATGTCCCTTTCCTGGGCAAAGTGATTGAGAGAGTGGTGGACAGCCAGCAGTAGATGGTCCTGGATGCAGCAGTTACGTAGTCCCATTTCCATCTGGCTTCAGCACTGACACACCACTTGGTCACCCTGATTACCATTATCAGGAGATAAATGGGAGAATGTGTCACCCTGTTGATTCTCCTAGATCTCCCCACAACTTTCAATAGCATTGACTATGGGGTCCATTCAGAGCAGCACTGTGAGTTTCCAGTCAGGGACATTGGGTTACAGTGGTTCTGCTCCTTCCTACAAGACCACTCCCAGAAAGTAGTGTTAAGGGACTGCTGCTCAGCCCCATGGCACTTTTCCAGTGGGGTCCTGCAGGGTTCCATCTTGTCCCCCTAGCTATTCAACATCTATTTTAAAAAAAATCACTGAGATGAGTCATTTGTGGATTCGGATGGTGGTGTCACTAGCATGAGGATGACACACATTCCACCTGGCTCAGGAGAGGCTGAGCATGGGATGGACCAATAATCAACTCCAGCAACTTGGATCCCGGAATTAGGGATATGGCCTGTTCTGGAAAGGATGACACTCCTGAAGGAACAGGTGGGTAGTTTGAGGATAATTCAGTGCCCAAGCTCATTCACCATCTAAATGGACTAAAAGCTTGTCCACACTGCATTGCCCCAGGAAAACCCACTATTTACTGTTGAATCAAAGCAAACATCAATTGGGTTTTCAGTGGATTAACATTTGCCCCCAAGGAAAGCAGTGGGGCACATCCCAGTCCCATGCTTTCCAGGCACAGAATAAGCAGAAGTGTGAACCCCTAAGATAGCCTTGTTCTAGTAATGTCATGATTGGATTATTGCAAGGTGATACAAGATGGAATCATGTATCAGCAATCTCCAAAGCACTGCACTGACTGCCTATGAGCTACTGGGCCCAATTCAAGGTCTTGGTAAAGGTGTACAGCTTAGGGCTCAAAGGAACGCCTCTTCTAATAGTTTCCAACCAGCACCTTGGTCATGGTACCAGGGATTAATATGGCCAACTGTGCAATTTCATGACAAAGGGCCTTCTCTGTGGTAGTGCCCTGACTGTCAAATTCTCTCCCTGTGGACGTACATTCCGCTTCTGCCCCACTTGTCAATTTAATAAACATTTCAATTATATTTTTGATCTGTTGTTTCAGGATATTTGTTTCAAGGTATGATATTTTAAATGTTTCAATTATTTTGTGATTGGTTATATTTTATTATCCTTTAAACCTCCCCGAGATAGGGGTGGGATATCAAAATAGTATAACAGAACAACAACAGTAACAATGATGGAAGTACTACAAGAGTATACACAAGAAGAGAAAGAGAAAAATAAATATGTGGGGACATAAACAGATAGCAAGTAGCCAGCCTGAGAATGAAAACATGATGGAAAATACACAGCAATAAAATGGTTCCAAAGATCTAAGACTTTTAGCAACCTTAAAATTAAAACCATACTTTTTAAGGACATCTAATGGTAATAAACTGATTACCAGAAGTAATAATGGCTTCTAAAATCCATTAGATCAAAACACTTCTGAAATAATAGAACGCTCCAAGGCATATTTGCCAATTTGAAAACTACTTAATTTGGAAAATTAAAGTCCTCCAAGGACTGAAACTCATCAGGAATGTGTACATAAGAGGAAGCAGATTTTCCTCTGATGTTTAAAGATTGGCTTATCTCTGTTTTACTTCCTTGTGTACCAAAGAAAACCTTCTGCAGATCTTCTAAGGGCAAGTTCACACACACACAATCTATATATCTATATATGGTGTGCCTCTAAAGTGCTTTAAAGGTACCCTAAAAATGTAAAGACTCAATGTGTGTCAAAACAGTCCATTACAGAGCCGAGCCAAAATGTCCAAAATAGTTTTTTTTCCTGAGAATATTTCTAGATTATTCTTTTCCTTATTTTCTGCCCCTCTGGAAAAGTCACTTTGCATAGTGTTCTCTAAATTCTCTTTTTTGTGGAGTCTGCACCACTGAGGCCACTTGAGCCTCAAACAACAGCAAAGAATCCACAAGTACCCCCAAGCTACATGCCCACTCCTTCAGAGGGAGTGTAACTCCATCAAGAGCAGGCAATCTCCCATCCATCCAGTCTAGGAAACCACCCACTAACAACGTACTGGATCTTACCTGGATTGAGCTTCAGCTTGTTGGCTCTCAACCTTAAAAACATCCTCTCTATACCAAGCCAGTGCAGACTTGCTGCCTTATATCTGCTTGTGAAAAGGGAGAGGGCTTTGGGTTTTTGTTTTGTTTGGGGTTTTTTGCAACTTTGTCAGTCGATATACCCCTTTCTACACAACTCAAATGTCCCAAAAGCTATGCACTTCTGTCCACCCAAGGGTTAGACCTTTGTAACCGGAGGCTTGGATTTTTCAACAGATGTTTCCTATATCACAAAGTTCATATTGAAGAATATTCAGTAAGGCAGAAATAATGATCCACACCATATGGCAATCCTGTCCCATTAGCTAATTTTGGGGGGAGCTGTCAAAGTGGCTTTACTGACATTATAAGAGGTGACAACACACTGGGGGCAGGGTGGATAATGACTACCCTGGGCTTTAGCTACCTGCACAGTGCAAGAGATAAAAGGAAAGTATAAATTATAATTGTCTCTCAGAGATGAGTCAGGAAGTGTGGCTTCCTGACTGCTTTGGGATAGCTGGAGTATACATGGTCCTGCTCAACTCAAAAGAGGACTAGCTACCAAACAAGAGTAGTGACCTCTGGCCCATAGGCCAAATCTGGCCTGGCACAAGTCCCAATTTGGCCTGTGAGTCCGTTTTCCCCAAACTATGACCATTTACCTCCAAATGCCTAACATCCAGCTTGCACTTGGGAAACTGCACTAGAGTTTTTGACAGGTGCATGTGCCAACCTGATGCCCTCCAGATCTTGCCAGGCTACATCTCCCCTAATTCCTGACATATGGTCATGCTGGCTGTAGCTGATGGGAGCTGGAGGCCCACAACATCTGGAGAGCCACAAGTTCCCCGGCCCAGAAGGCAAGGGGATGCAGTGGTTATTGCTGCTGCCTCTGCTTGTTTGCTCATCTCAGTCTCTCTGTCTGTATGTATGTATATGTATGTATGCAATATAGAGGAGGCACCTCCAAGTCCCAAGTAAGTAGGGACCCCCACCCACTTGACGGGGCCTAAACCATCCAAGGGGGCTTTCCCACTAACTCGGTGGTGGTCAGGGTCAGGGATCGGGTGGGTCCCCCCAAGAGGCAGGGGTGGAGGGGTGAGGGCACCTGCTGCCCTACATCACCGCCGCCCCCGTCCCTGCGAGGCGCTCAGGTACCTGCCCGGGATGCTGCAGCGCCGTGGGCTGCGGCGCCGCTTCTCCGATCCACAGCTGCTCCTTGAGGAGATGCTGGTAGCTGAGGCAGTGCTTCAGCGCCGACGGCATGTTGCCCATGGCCGCTGCTTTCTCAAGGTCGCCCGCAGCGCCGTCTCCTCCCCCCGCGGCCGCGGCCAGCCATCGCCGCTGCCGTCGCCGCGCAGAGACCCGCGCCGGAACCGAGGCCCGGAGAGAGCGGAGGCAGCGCGCCCGCCTCAGCCAATCCGAGGAGTCGCCGTCGCTAGCGGCGGCGCTCATTGGCCGAGAGGGGCTGCCGGGAGTTCGCTGGGTCGGCGTCGTGATGCTGATGCTGCGGATGCTCAGGCAGCCTCAGCATCCTTCGCCAGGTAACGCAGCAGGGGGATAAGCGCATCCCAGCAAAGGCCAGGCTGTGCTCTCCACCGCGGAAGCCGCGAGGGGTTGACGAATAGCTGGATCATGCCATGCAGAGTTAGGTGGGACTGCTTCCTTAGATTGCCGTCTAATAAGGAAGGTTGCAACCGTTCTGAATTTTAAACTGGGGCAGACAGAGGGTGCGCGCAGTATGTGTGGTGGTGGGGAGTCTGTTTAAGCAATATTTAGTTCCTGTTCCAGCAGGTGGCGGTCACAGAGCCTCTTTAAGCGCTGCTCACGCCATTAAGAACTACGAGAAGAGAGAAGCAATAAGGACCAAAAATACAAGAGTATTAAATTTCCAGCAGACTTGACTTTGGGGCACTTTCATAGGGAGAGAGCTACGATCTGGGAGCAGGTGATGTCAAAAAAGCAGGGATTTTTTTGAGCACGCTAAGAGTGCCTATGCATCAGGACTGATACTGTATTGCAGAATGTTGCCCATCGGCCCATCTGCTTCAGAGTTGGATGGCAGCAGGTCTTTGGTGTTTCAAAGATTGGCATTGAGTTCAATACCTTGGACTAGGTAAAGAGCAGGAAGGGTAATGTCAGTGGCGAACCTTGAACTCTCAAATTTCAGCAGCACACTCTGCAACACCAAAATTCGACACACGCACACCACACCTCTCTCGCTCCATTCTAAAGAATAGTTGCAGCGTCCCCTGTGGTGCCCCCAAGATTGTGGGGGTGGGACTTCTACTTCTTGGCAAGTCCACACGAGCTTCATATTAACTCGCTGTTTATTAGTGTAAACACGTTCCTTACTTTGATTCTGTAAAATCTGCAGGTTGACAATTACATTTTAAAACAAAATTAAATGTACCAAAACCCCTGAGAGGACTTGGATGTTTTAAATGATACTAGGACTATGAAAGTGTTTTGGATATTGTTATATCTCTGGACAGCATTTTAAAAAGCAGAGACATCACCTTGCTGACAAAGGTTCGTATGGTTAAAGCTATGGTTTTCCCAGTAGTGATGTATGGAAGTGAGGGCTGGACCATAAAGAAGGCTGATTGCGAAGAATTGATGCTTTTGAATTATTGTGCTGGAGGAGACTCTTGAGAGTCCCATGGACTGCAAGAAGATCAAACCTATCCATTCTGAAGGAAATCAGCCCTGAGTGCTCACTGGAAGGACAGATCCTGAAGCTGAGGCTCCAATACTTTGGCCACCTCGTGAGAAGAGAAGACTCCCTGGAAAAGACCCTGGGAAAGATGGAGCGCACAAGGAGAAGGGGATGACAGACGATGCGATGGTTGGACAGTATTCTCGAAGCTACCAGCATGAGTTTGACCAAACTGCGTGAGGAAGTGGAAGACAGGAGTGCCTGATGTGCTCTGATCCATGGGGTCACGAAGAGTCGGACATGACTAAACGACTAAACAACAACAATATCTCTGGAATACATCATAGTATTTGGAACACTTTCTTGTCAATGGTTTTAAGATGTTTTTTGTGTGCATGGGTATACACAAGCATAGATATAAATCCTTAAGTTATTCACAAGTCTTGACTAACTTATGCCCCAGTTGCTGTCAATGGGTTTACTCTAATGCAGCTATACCTGGATCCGACTCATTAAAATGTGATGAATTATATTAAATAAGAACAGCATGTGTGTGTTAAACAATGTAGTGTACGATTTCCTGAATTATCCTAGACAGCATGATTTTTATTTATTTATAACAGAAATATTACTTAAGCTGAATGTAGAAGTTTTGTCATGCAATCATTACAAGCAGGATGATCAAAACAGTGGGATTTTTACTCTCTCTGTTGCTAGCTTCTAGCCAAGAACAGCAGGGTAAAAATAGATTTATTGTTTGCAAGCTCTGTTATATCAAAAAACAAAGCACAACCCTGGGGTGTGTGAAGGGGCAGGGTGGCTGATGACAGTGGGAAAAGAATCAAATAAGGGAGTTAGATGCCAAAACTGGCAAGTGGCCAAGGTACCTACTAAGCAGGGATCAAAGCTACATATGGTCAGTCTCAAGCAACAAAAATAAGCCATAGGATTTTGGCAAGCATTGCGAGGGTAACAAAGTCCAGCCTTGTAGGAAAAAGAGAAAACAATGGAGCTCACCAATGCTTCATGGGATCTCTAGGGAGAGCACAGCTATCATCATCATCTCTGTTTTATTGGAGCAAAAAAATGTAAATAATTTCTCACATATGTTATGTCTGGCTGATCTGAATTGATGGGAACGAGAAGACAACACTTGAACACATCTTGCAAGTCATGACAGTAAATTGGTGGTTCTCCTGTTAGCTACAGTGCAGTTCAGAGACAGGATTCTTTTAAGGGTGACTAACAGCTGCCAGTTGCCAAACTCAGGCTCCAACTTGTGCCTGATGGACACCTGGCATTCACATCAGATCTTCTCTGAAGAGACCCTATCCAGATGTTGATACGTAGGCTTCTGCTCATTTTTGTCTTTATAGCAGCACCTAAGAGCCCACAGTTATAGGAAAGTGGCTTGCGTCTTCAACTACTCATAGAACGCAAGCCTGTCAGGAAGAAAAAATGCTTTGTCCCTTACGTCTAGTTTTCTTTATGTAGGGAGTTTTTGTTAGTTTTCCCCCATCTCCACACCACATGATGTCCACGTAAGGAAACTCCGTACGTTGTGAGGACATTGCACATCACATCCTGCTGGTTCCTACACATCAATTAGGCTCCTAAGGTCAGTTAGATTAAGGAAGCTTGTGGAAGGAAAGTTTCCTATCCACAACTCCCCAAAATGCCAGCCCTCTGCTTCTAAGTTCTGGGAGTCACAGGTGCAGAGAGGTCTGCCGCTCTCGGTTTCTGCTTGTGGGTTTCCTGTGGCCATCTGGTTAGCTGTTGTAAGAACACGGTATTGGACCAGATGGGCCTGTGGCCTGATCCAGCAGGGCTCGTTTTCTTAACCTTGGAGTGGGCAATTTAGCACAGTTGCTTGGGGGCCAGTTCATTCATGCCCTTTGCAAGGGGAGACAACAGTAGCCTAGTAGGTGAAGGGTTAATGTCTCTACACAGGGCTGGGAAAGCCTCCTCAATCAGTTTCGACAATACTGGGCTAAACATTGGCTTGGTATCCTTCCTATCTTTCACAGGGCTGGTGGAAGCTTGTTTTTTTCATGTATGAATCACTTCCCATGAGGTATCCCAAAGTGATTCATAACACAATCAAAACTTATATAGCGCTGTTGTACATACAAAAACAGTTAACGTATTTGCATGTGTAAAAACAATTTAAAAACAATTGCACACACACGCACAATTTGAAACAACGTAAAATCTATTCAAATTCAATACAGATACCAACTGAGTTTTGTTTTTGTTTTTTAACACTTAGAAGGCTTGTTGAAAGAGAACATCTTTGTCAGCCACGGAAAAGACAATAGAGGAGAGGTGGTTGCTGCAGGATAAGGGATTAACTTCACAAATGTATTCTTGCCCAGAATAATGAAGCCTTCAGTCACACATGGTCAATCCATTGCTGAAGAATATTGTATGCATGTGAAATAAAGTATATTTACAGAATGGTCGTGTTTATGGAATCTTTAGAATCTCTTAAATATTTTTTGTGTAACAGCAGTGATCTGTACTTTTCATGACTCAAAAAACGGAGCATTTTAACTTAATACTTGCTTTTGAAATAAATGGTACATTGTATCTCAAACCAGCCACTTTACTGGGAATGGAGAACAGAGTTCCTTTAAAGAAAGCATCTTCCTGAGAAAATTAGTATGACTTGTTAAAATAAGTTGTGTGGTTAGTCTGAGAGGAAAAGGGTGGGAGATAATTGAAAACACATTGCCAGAGGAATGATATCTGAAAACAGTGATTCAGCTTTTGAAAACAAACTGCAAATTATATTCCCATACAGTTAACAAAGCAAGTAATTCCTTTGATTCCTAACACATGGAATCATGACAAATAAGTAAAATATGAGTGTGCATGGTTTTTTTAAAAAAAAATCTGTGTTCAGATTAAGTATATCACGTCTTCATACAACTGTACTTAATTTGTGCACAATGTGCAATTCACCTGAAGAGGGTTTCAGGAGATGAAGGTTTACAAGACAGAGCAGCATCGTATGCAGAGTAAAGCTGCCCATAATATAAATAATGAAAATATCTAGGGGTATATTATAGAGGATTTAAAATATATACAAGGGATATGAACTTCCATGCTTCAGGAAATAAACCAATCACAAGCTGACAAGGGTTAAAGGGACTCACGCTATGGACGATTAATTTGATATTTTTTCCCCCTACAGGCAGGGTTTGGGTTTTGTTTTTGGTTTTTTTGCATGAAACATCTGGTTATTGAACACTGTCATAAACAGAATGTAAGATAACAGGGCCAAGATTTTATTCAATTCGCCATTCATGCTTTGCATTCCTGTTTTCAGAGTCAATACATCTATTATGTGCTCCACAAGACATAATGGAGGAGGTACTTCATTGTGCTGGCTAGGAGCTCATAGAGCAACTCAAAACCCCTTACACCAAATTAGGGTGGGTTGGGGGTTGGACTGGACAGAACTATGATTGGCTAAGCTGGCCTCCTGCTGGCCACTGCTCTGTCAGTGCGCACTCCTCATTCCACCCACTGAATGGGTTGGCAGAAGTGGTGGTGGTGGGATCCTCAGCACTGGTAGCCATGGAAGGTCCAGAAATGGGGCATTCCAGAGGTTGGAGGCAGGGTCTGAGCAAGTCCAAGATCTGTTGGATCCCAAACCAGTCTCAGTGCTGTTGCCGGATGGGATTGTGACTAATTTGGACATGATGAAGTTGGCACAGCAATCTCACACTCTCACCACTGTGAGTGGCAGGCCTCTGAATCCACAACAGCCCTGCCAATCCATAAAGTCCCA